TTTTGATGCGAGCTCGTCTTTGTGATTTTCGAACACGATAATACGCGGCATTTTTCCATTAGTGTTGTTAATTGTACGTAATAATGTTCCACTGAATATACACAGCCCATCTGGCGTGTCAATTTTAGCGCAGGTGCACAGGAATGACTGAAAACACTCAAAACAATATACATATAGATATATTTTTTTGATATTTACCTTCGAAAACTAGCTTTAATATATAACATTTTCCTTGTTAGGCTTTCTGAAATTATTTTTCAAAATTGTATTGGTTGTTTTTTAACAAATATATATATATATATATATATATATATATATATATATATATATATATATATATATATATATATATTACATATATATATATATATATATATATATATATATATATATATATATATATATATATATATATATATATATATATATATATATATATATATATATATATATATATATATATATATATATATATATATATAAAGCTTAATAAAAAGTTATTATAAATCCGGAGAACTTTCATTATATATAAAATTAAATTTCAACTTTCTATATATATTTCTTCAGCATAACATTCAAATCAAGCTAATTTTTAACTTGATATTGATAACTTTCCAAATTATAATTAATTTTCAGTACAACTTCAAATATTCTCTTCAAAGCAGGCTAAAAAAATTAGAAAAAAAACATTTGGGACTTGGCACTAGCTTCATGCTCTGATTTATACCATTTACAGAATATAAAGTGAATATTTGCGTGAAATTTTATTTGCGTGAAATTTTTTGTCACATGCATGAGATTATCCACAATATCTCTTGAGAAACACTTTTATGTTCACTCATGCAATCATCAGTCGAAAATCCTTCGTAGGCTAAAATGTCCAATTTGCCACGTTTTAAAACGCCCAAAAGTGTTCAGATTGATAGAACAGGTAGGAAGATTCCACATCCAGATCCAAAATGTGCTTAATTTTTTCTAGTTTTCATTAATTTCCTTTCGTGACTTAACTGGCATTGTTTTGATAGTTCAAGAGACCGACTGAGTGAGCGTCTACTTGAATTAATGTCGTTGAAAAAGTTAAATGACACATCGTGGTAATATACTATAGTGCGTGGTTTATAGAAACTCGTGAAGTTCTTGTAAATATTCTTCGTTTCTAGAACGAAACGGCAGAATAAAGATGTTTGTGTATTTGTATCTTTCTGAATTGTTTCAAGGGTTTTGAATAAGTTCACTTTGTTTATGCAAAATAAGCATGTTTTATGAATAATATAGGCTTATATAGCGGTGATTGATTATATTGTTATATCCTTTATTAATGTGCACACGGACCGGCCGGTTTTTAAACTGGCTATAAACGAATGAAAAATCATTGCATGTGGAAAGTATTAAGTTCAGGTTTAGCTTTACGAAATTATTTTCTGTTTTGTTTTGAATTTCCGTGGGTTAATGAAAGAAAAATGCTTTAATAATTGATTAAGTTCCCTACACGATGCTGCATTATTGGATCGCATCTGGTTCGCTGACGCACAAACAGATGCTGTATGATTACACGGGAATGGAATTTCTTAGTGTTTAATTAATGGCGTTTACTTCATTTGCCATTGATTTTTGTGATATATGAATATACACATGAGAAGTGACTCTTAAATCAAAGCAATTCACTATTTTAGGAGCTTTCTAGCTCAATTCAACGTGTCAATTCACATGCAGTTTATCTTTCAATATCTTAATATGGCGGATTCATACCTCGCATTTTTTCACAACTTGAATTACCTGATCCCGGATCAGAAAAAAACTGAGGTTTTTGTGAATTTGTCTATTTTGCATCTCTGCCAAAACATTCTGGACCAAATTAGCAAAGAAATTAAACCAGATGCAATTTAATGAAACTGATTTTCTCAATTTTTACGCAAAAATGTCATATAAATTGGAACATGCACCCGAAGAAAATTTTTAAATCGTTTGCAAAGGCTAAACAGTTTAATGAGTGAAGGCTTCGTAATGAGAATTGCTGTACAACACATTATTTAGGGAATTATAGAGGTACACTCTTAATAACAACAAAACGTGTTGAATATTCGAACTGCATTGTATATTGCATTTGTTCCATTTTGAATTTGAATAACCATCTAATTACTTTTCAACGGAATCCTGCGAAGCGCGTGTAGGCGATGAAGCGGATAATTTTCATTCTTTATTTACGTTTTAAAGAGTCTTCCGGAAGACAAGTGACGAAATAAAAAGAAATCTCGATTTTCTTTTCTCCGCCCGCTTTTTTAACGATCTAATACGTCTGCGTAAGCGCGATATTTCTGTGACGTCATTTTACGAGCATTGCATCGAAACTTCTAAACGGAAAAGGCGATATTTGCTAGTTTCTCGCTGGTTTGCGCTGTAACTACAGTAATAGCTATATATGTACATACGACGTCCTTTGTGCCTTAACAACGTAAAAAAAATTGAAAACAGTTAAATCGAAGGCACTGACCTTCACCGAACACCCACGTTTCAGACTATATTACTATAATCTATCAGCTATCATTATCACTTGTATAGTGGGTTTTACAATTTCATTAGAATTGTTTTGTTGTTGTGAAAACGGTTAATTTACTTCGCAAAAATTTCGTTCCGGATCTTCATCTGTAGAAGGTCAGTTATATTTATCGTCCTCCACACCGCGGAACCTGTAGCTATCAAAATACACAATTAACTATTTTTATATAAATTAAAACATTATATAATCTATATAAGGCCAACATGGAGGTGGTACAAGTTTCGGAAAGCCACTCTTTATCTTTCGCAATTTTTTGGCAAGTTTCCCTTCTTGTGATTAGAGGCAGTAATCATCTTTCACAGACAAATATTTTACACTTAATTCCAATATCCTTTAAAATCTTTTGGCTTAGAATCAATAAGAAAATTCGATGAATATTGACTTGAGTTGCAAAAACCTATATCTTTATAGGAGAGCATATGTGAAAATGTTATGTTTGATGCATGAAATTTTGGACGACATCCGAAGAAAATAACAACTAAAAATATGAAAATGACTTTTCTTGAAATATTTTCATCAGTTTTGGCAAAGAAATGTTTGATAGTGGGTGTGGAACCGGAAAATTGCGTTGGTGGCTAGCGTATAAAATTCATTTTTCGTATGCGCGATGTGAATTCATTTACGAATGGCAAAAAACGTGAATTCATTGTACACACGATGGGGGCACTTTTCAATCTTCACTTTGCAGAATGAACATTTTGACGAGTAATGATATCTTCCTAGACCTAATATTTTTAAACTGCTGCATAGAATTTATAGATCCACTTGGAATTGCGTTATTTTTCTGACATGCAGTTATTGGAAACTTTAACCGTTTAATTCTTCTTCCAGGACACCGCGCTAGAAATGAAGAACGAGAAATGCATCATTCATACGAGCCCTATGTTCCACCATTGGACAGACTGACAGAGCTGGACATGAGGCGAAACAACTTCGGCCCATTCACAGAACTGCAACCTAACACATTGCAACCGTTACTACCAAGCAAAATGCCCACAGATACTTCGTCATCGTTTGGCCTACCTGGAGGTAATTATCAATATTTTACATTGGCATAGAACGTCTTGAAAGCGAGTTCTAGTGTATAATTTGTTATCAAAAATAAAATTAGCATAGAGAATATATTCTATGTAGAGAATATTTTTTTCTAAATTACGATAAATTGATCATTAGTGAATCCAATTAGCATGCAATTAATCATCCAATCACTATATCCTTTGCCAAATATGTTGCTTTGTATTCGCCGACAATTGCTTCTAAATAATAATAAGTAGATAAGTAGTGAAGCTTAATTATTAGTCAGAGATCCGGAAAAAAATACTCTCTATTTAAGGAAGTACGCAGATCCGGAAACTCAATACGAATCTTCCAGCCGTCCCTGAGCCACCTAAATGTTGTTTGCGATTAAAAACTGCTGAATCATTGGGTTGGGCAAATTCGAACATCGCCTGCATTTTTTTTACACAATCAAGTTGCCATTAAACAACTTAGGATACATGAGTTCAAAGTTGATTCATTAATTCCTACAAATATGAGCTTGAGGCTTGTATACGTACGTGCACAAAATATTCGTGACTCAATATTTTTTCAATTTTCCTTTTAGAATTGCAAAGAGCTCAATCTTCGTGGCCAAGTTTTCATACTATTCAAAACCTGGTGAATCCAGCATCAATGAACAATCACGTGGCAGACAACAGCTTAATGTACAATAATCTACCGCAAAACCTCATTCCCTCGCCAAAACAAACACCTCTACTTTCAGCTATGAATGGCGATAACATGTCTCCCCTATTCCCACAAATGTTCAGTTCTGAAACGCGATACCCAAGCAGCTCGCAGTACCCGTATCGCGTGAATCCTTCGTCATCTCCCGTGAGTACCGCGAATGTGACGTCACCATCCCTGGGTTTGTTCTCGACCAATACGGGACTAGATGTTAATCAGAATGTCGTGAATGGAGGACTTACACATATGGCTAATAATATGAACATGTTAAATAATCAAGTGACATCATCAATGGTAACCAATGGATTATACACAACGACAACAACAGCGCTTAACGACCACGATCTTCTAAATCACGTGACATCAACCACGCCCAAAGGCATGTACCAAAACCCGTCCCATACCTCTGCCAACGCGCTGTCTCTTACCCAATCTACAGTATATTCAAATATTGGCAACACATATCCTCTGCTGAGACCAGCTTCGTCTCTTATGAATTCACCCCTTGGCCTACACGATGTTGGCAGCGTGAAACTGCCATCTGGAAACGGGGTTACTTATACAGACCTGACTAATTCAACTACGAACATTAATGGTTATGCGTATTCACCAAAGGATGACGCTCATAGTGATCTAAGCAAAGTCTCAGATGTTATGAATCAAATTGATGATCTGAACCATGCACGCATCAAACTCGAAACCGAGGCTGTACGAAGTACATCACCCAAAGTGTGGCGGCCATATTGACTAACCGACAACTGTTACGAGACATTGAACTCCATAAATAACTGGACACTACGTTGTGCGTGAATTAGACTATAGATTAATGTAGTCGTTGTGCTCAATGATGTATCTAGGAATGAAAAGTCGCAGATATAAGATTGTCTATTCTCACATGAATTGAGACTTTCATGATCATGTTGTCAGGCTGATCGTCTTTATCTCTGCAACTCTTCATCCATCCATCATTCCAGGTTCTTTATAGAGATCAATGTCTTTTTGACAACAAAAGGAACAATTAGAACACATTAAAACGATTTAATTTATCGCAAATATTTATTTGTAATATAATTTATGTAAATTATGCCTTACTATATAAGAGTTTAAAGAGTTTTTAAAACATGTAATTATATGCAGTCCTTTGGACGAAATGTGGAGACATTAATTATATAAATTTGGTCGTCTTACGAAAAAGGCGACCTGTAGTATATTATTGTAAAAAGATATCTATACAATATTGCATGCATCATCTCCAAATGTAAATGTTCTTTTACGAAACTCTTTGGAGTTAAATGATCTTTTATTAAATAGATCTAAAATTACTGGTTTGTGTGGAAATATTTTGGGCGAAAATGTGGAACATTTTATGGGGAAGCACAGCCCAGATTTGTAATCGAACAGTAGGTTTTAAATACTTTATTTGTGCATGTTTTTTATGAAGAATTGTGGCATCATGTAGCCTTGCAAAATTTTATAGCTTTCATCCTTTTTGTGCAAAAATCGGTGGGGGGGGGGGGGGGGGAAATCTGAAGCTAATTAGGACCGCGACTGGCCAGTGGCAGTGGTAATTACCATGGGAAGTTGGAGATGAAGGCAGTTCGAAATCCGAAGTGCCTTCATCTTGAGCGTGCAAAAAATAAAGTTTACAGTTCCTTTAGAAGACCATTCTTGACATAGCAAACCATTTAATTATTCAGTTTATTTTAGATATATATACATAATACAATAATATTTATATCCCCATTCAAAGTTGATTAAAAAATTTGGTCATGCTATGCAAATTTTAAATCATCATCATTAATTTCTTTCGAAATTGATTTTTTCACTGTCTATGAACACGGAAATATTTGCATGGCATGACCAAATTGTCGGGCTGGCTACGCCAATGTCAGGTGGTCAACTGTAATCGACATTCACAAGAGCAAGTAAATGAAACTTACTCATTTCTATCCAATGGTCCTCAAATGCAAGACTACTTAATATAGTGGGAAAAAATATATACGATTTTCTCACTGGCAAAAACTGTAAGTTTATCACCATCCACTGGTGCTTAGCGAAACCCAGCTATAATATTGAAAGACAATCAAACTTGAAACAACCATCACATAAAATTTTAAAGGAAAACAAGTGTTCAAAACACTATGACCAGCATTCCGTTCAACTATGCTAGGTTTTGTCGAGGATACTCCTGTTGTCGAAGAAACTGTAGCGATAGTCGTGCTCGTCGTTTTCCGTGCGCACGTTTTGAATTTTTTCCGAGAATTTGGCGCGTGGCTGGTGGGCATTGGGACCGAGGATGAAAAATTTCGCAAAATTTCGTCTCCAGGTTCCAGCGCGGTCGTGGCGGGAATTTCGCCGAGTCGCGAAGTGGAATTTTTATTTTCGTTCATGGTTGGAGTTTTCGTTGCTTTTGTTGGCGAAATTGTGGTGGGTAACTTTATCTTCTGGGCCATCATGTCGTTTGAAAGCAAAGGTAAGGGCTCAGTGGTCGTTGTTGTTTCTTCTTTTGGTGATTCAAGAGTTGAGCATTCCGAGGGTGACGACACTGCAAAATAGAACACGCGAATATTGCAAATTTTGTGCCTATTTTGTGCGTTGTATTTATAGCATAGAATAGAATAGTTTTGAAGTCTTAGTACAAATAAAAAGTTACTTAAAGAGGCGGTGAAGTCCGTTACATTTTGAAAACATTATATTCATATTGAGAGTTTCAAATTAGTATATTTAGAGTTTCAAATTAGTATATTGAGAGTTTCAAATTAGTATATTTAGAGTTTCAAATTAGTATATTTAGAGTTTCAAATTAGTATATTTAGAGTTTCAATTTTGAACAATGTCGAAACAACACGAAATTTGGATATTGTTTTACATCAGAGGAACCTCGCATAGCCCATGTGCAGAACAGACTTGACCTCATCTTTAATTTAGAGCACAGTGAAATGCCTATTTGAAAATATTACTCGTACACAACTACAAATCCAGTGAAGCTACTATTCGATTTCAAACTGTTATTATTTGTCAAAGAAAAGTTCGTTTTCACAAAATTCCACATGCCAAAATGTTGTTGCAAGAGTATAAACACACAAATTTGGCTAATGTTGTAACTTCATTCTTTTAAATTGGAATGAATATTTACAATAGACAAAATTGTTTATATACAATGGACAACTAGCTTGCATGTTAAACTAAATTTTAATCTAAGTAAAGAGAAGGGAATCAAACAAATAAACTTGGAAAATATAGCCTTGCAAAGTTACCAAATTTTGTATATATTTGTATTACGTGCAGAAATTGTTACCATTTTTGGCTCAAAAATGGTAACAATTTCCGCACGCAATACAAACATACTGAAAATATGCAAACTTTGCAAAGCTATATTTTCTGTATTTTACAACATTTCGTAACCAAGTTCTTTGTATGTTTGCATGGCGATAAAACATATAATAGTTTTGTTTGCGGAAACAAAAATTTAATAAATTATTAATTAATAATTATTATTATTATTATTAATAATAATAATAAATAATTATTATAAATAATTATTATTTAATAATGAATTTAATTTATTAATTTTTTATTTTTTAAAATTTAACCCCCCTACCTGCTTTGGGTATTGTCCATACACTTCCCCCTCTGGACAGCAGAAATTTTGTCAGTTGGGGAGGGGGGAGTGTGGATCTTTTCTGGAACGAAGTAATATATCATTATTTGTTATATAAAGTATAATGCTTTATAGAGATTTCGAGCACTGATAAAAGTGATAATCTCACATGTGAGATTATTCATGATAATCTCACATGTGAAAATTATCGCTTTTCAATTATCGCTTTTCTGTAAAAAATATTGCTTTTCAAAGACTGTCCTTTATATAATAAACAGAAAAATACATGGGTGCTTGGAAATACCAGATTTATTTCTCGTGTTGAACATGATATATCACTCGTTCGCTGCGCTCACTCATGATATATCATGTTCAACACTCGAAATAAGTCTGATATTTCCGCGCACCCATGTATTATTCTCTATTTATAAAACGCAATAAAATACCCACCACAGTCATATGACATCACAACAAACTTAAATGCTCTCTCACAATATGGAGAAATGTCTGTATTCTTTTCGAATAGTATACAGTCTTTCGTTTCTCCATTACATTTCTCAAAGATATACTTTTTCACCAACTCCACACTGCAATTGCTGTTTGGTGTTGCATCTGGGACCTCAGGACACATATAACGTCCGCTTGTGCCAATCTGATCAATACTCTTGATACAAATCATGGCCTTTTCTCCTGTACATGTCATGTTATTTATGAAATTGTCACAAGCCACAAAGTCTGCAATAAAAATAACGATAACCACTCATAATTATTGTATAACAAGTCAAGAAGTTGATTTCTAGAGTTGGATGTTCAAAACGCTATAAGTTATAATATAACTGTATGTGCTTATAAGCTTGGAGAAATTTGTAATGTGAAAATTTACCGAAATTACTGGAAACATTCTGTAATTGCAACTCACGTACTTCATTTGTGAAGAAAACCTTGGGTTGATGACTATATATATATATATATATATATATATATATATATATATATATATATATATATATATATATATATATATATATATATATATATATATATATATATATATATATATATATATATATATATATATATATATATATATCATAAGCCAGGCAAAAAGTTTTCCATTGCAAAAATTAGTACGGAAAACTTGTCAACCAGTCTGGAAAAAATTTCAATTGAAAAATGTTTCAAGGAAAACTCTTATGCACGGGATTTTATGCCAACCGCTATATTTTAGTATACATGGTTGTGGAAAGAAAAACTGATTGACTATAGTCTATACACCAAGTTGTCTGGAAAAGGTTTCCACTGATTGGAAAACGCCGTCTGGGAAAACTTATTCAGCCTGTATCATAATTAGCCACACACCTTCTGCCTTGGCAGTATCAATACTGCTTAAGACCACCAAGACTTGAATGACAACATGTCCACTTGTACAAAACTGCGCTCTCATCTTCAGCACTTGAGAACTTAAGCAAGATTCCGAGCTGTGTGCTTAAATTCGCATCTGTTTCTTAAATTAAAAGACAAACACTAAAAACGTTTAACGCGTTTTAAAGAGATCGGAACGGCTGATAAATACGGAACCACTAGCTAAATAATAAAACATTTTCATGAGATACTTTGGAAGATAACTTGTTTTAACTAAAAACGCTTTTCTTAGATGTTTATATTATATATATTCGATGTTTTAATGTTTTTTTTGTGACGTTAACGTTTTTTTGAACAAAGTTTTAATTACACGCGTTTATTTGTAATTTGCAAAAATTTCTATCCACGTTTTTCAGACATTGTTTATTAAAAACATTTATCGCATTAGGACGTTTGACTTTATTAGTTTTTTTTGCGGTCACGATCCGCACCGTCGCGTTGATACTTAAAACTAAAAAGTTATTTTTTTATTGTCAATTGATTACGAAAGATAATTTCTTTACGTCAGTGTATAGAAAGGGCTTGGCATGTGGCATGAATTTGTTAGGATGAAAAATATAGTCGTAATATAATCATAGTAATAAAGGTGGTTTACACATACTTTTATATAAAACTTGTAATCGGAAAAAACTCCAAAAAACTCCAAAAAACTCCTTCAGTTTAACAACACTGTGTGAACATCATAGAATTTTAAATGTGAATGTTGTCATTGATAGTTTACAAAACATTTTGCAGTTAAAGAAAACCACTTGGCACTTTGCCTTTGGAACAGCAATAGATCCTTACGCTTACCGTTTATTCACTTTTCACCCAATGGCCTCGTTTTCGTGTCAAATACTTATTCATGTTTTGTGCTTAGTAGGTTTGAAAATTACTTTGTTATTGAGCCTAAGAACAGCAAGAAACAAATTCGTCCAGGAAAACATGGGAATATAATCTTTATCTGCACCTGACATGCTAAAATAAGTTAACATGGAAACGAGGCTATTGTGTAAGAGAGAATAATAGGTAAGGTCTATTGACTATTGTTTTGGTGTCTTAAGGTTTGCATAAATAGTTTTGTCTGGCATCGCTGAAAATTTCACAGAGTTGAATGAATTCCAAGACTTATTCTCTCACTGTTTTTGGTGACAGAATATAGTGAGCTCAAGCAAGCCAAGTCACAAGTGTTTGTCAACACGGATTTAAAATTGGTATAGATGAACCAGGTGGAAATCGTAATCTTAAGATAAATATTAATGCCCAGCATAAAATACATAAAAGAGCCATAACAAAAATGTAGTTTAAAATATTTATTAGAAAGCTAACGTTTCGTCTTTAACTTAAGACATCTTCAGAGCAATGACATACAAAGCGGAAAACACAGAAATATGAATAAATTACAACTATTTACAAGATATTATATTACAAAAGTAGAAAGAGGAATGGATCAGAGTAGAAGTATAGAGGGACCGAACTGCCTTGTAAGTTGAGAGAGGGTTTGAGTTTGTTAATGAGAAGACTTTCTCGAATGAGGAGTTCGTCTGGAGAAGAGCAACAAGAAATAATCTTAAAATCATTAAGGGACTGGTCATAAAGTAACTGCTAGGGTGGGCTGGAGGTAAATCACAAATTTTGCCAATAAGTTTGGTGACCCATCTTAGGATGTAGATAAAAATTTCAAAGTCCATCTAATCTTGCCAAATTTATTTCATGACCCACCCACCCAATCTACAGTAAATAGGGAAAATACAATTTTATGACAAAAAAACTTGCAGGTATGAACATTGTAAATATACACCGGCACTGTATTGACATACATAATTCCACCTAGCTTGACCAACACATTCATCACCAATTACGATACTGAGCTGCTCTCCAGTTGGTTGTATTTGCTGTGATTCGACCACTTCTTGTTGTTGTATAAAACAAAGTACTGGCTTCAATAGCATCATTTGCATTTGATAATTTGACATACCAAAAAATTGGCGGTCCATCGAAACTGCCCAAAGATTTTCCATGACCCATCCCAAATCACTCCAGCCCACCCTAGCAGTTACTTTATGACCGTCCCTAAGAGAGGCGGAGTGACCAGTGCTATCAAGATGGGAAGGATATTAGACATGGTCGGATTGCTGCTTTTACTGCCTGTTAAACTACATTTTTGTCATGGCTCTTTTACCTATTTTATGCTGGGCATTAATATTTATCTTAAGATTAAAATTGGTATATCTAATTTTGGCTGCGTTTTATATCATAGCGCTCTGTAAGAAAGGAAAAAAACTTTTATAATCTTGAATTTTGTCAGATGTGTTGAAGACTACCACAAACTGATACAAACACAGTGTTTAATCCAGTCCCCCCCCCGGCAATCTGACGAGCAACAAAATTACTGCAACTTGCAACAAAATCTGATTTCAATGCATGTTAATTGAAAATGTTTACATATCAATTACAAATCACGAGGCAAGATGTGTCGACATTTCTACCTAACATGCGTTGAAATCAGATTTTGTTGCAAGTTGCAGCAATTTTATTGCTCGTGTTACTCCAGCTTAAGGCTCGTTTAAACTTTAGGTGCGATTTTCGTCTTCTGATGGATGTGAACGAGTGGATAAGTTATGAATGTTCAGATGAGGGTACATGTACTCAGAACATTCATAACTCATCTGCTCGTTCACATCCATCAGAAGGAGAATATCGCACTAGAATTTGCAGCGAAAATTGCAAGTGTAAACGGGACTTTAAAGCTCGCTGCTAACACGTTTGGAGTTGATTGAACGCCATGCATGAAATTTACAGTGATGTTAGGCGGATATTCTGGGGATGCGGTGGGTGAATCTGCTGAAAAAGTAAAATTTTAGTTATTAATGACTTTTTTATGTATAATTTGTGCTCAACGACTGTAAATGGATATTGCCCTCTTGTAAATCTGCACGCCCTCTGTCTGACGAACCTGGATCCGACCCTGATCTTGTGGAAGCACTTACTACTTGAAACTAATCACGCGGACAACGCCATGGCAACATTATTAGTGTCCATGGAAACGGCAACATTATTAGTGTCATGTATGGCAACATTATTAGTGTCCTTGACAGCATTATCAGTGTCCATGGCAACGATATTGGTGTCCTTGACAACGTAGTCATGACGAGAAACATCCCGACATCAGTCCTCGCATAACATAAGATCTGGTCGCCAAGGTCTCCCCAAATCAGGTCTCTCTACATCAATTTGTTACTAATGCCTGTATTCTAAAAGCTCACTCACACTCAAAGAGTCGAGGTTCAATCTGAGCTTCTCTTGGGCTTCACTTGAGGGTGAATAATCACATAGTAAGGTACGACACTAACTCTTCAGCTATTCAAAAACAGCACTGACACTCAAGGGAAGCTTAGATTGAACCTCCACTCTTTGAGTGTGAGTGAGCTGTTAGAATACAGGCGTAAGTGTTCTCTTTGTGTATATACTTATAGATAACATAAAAAACAAGTTTTTCTTGGCATCTCACTCGATTGAATACTAATATAGTTGGAGGGTTTTGTGGATGGAAATTATCAAGTGGAAACTCTATATACATTTATTATTTATTTATTTATTAAACTTTGCCAACACAAAACGTGCACACAAACATGACATCATAACGGCAGAACATGCACGTCACTGAATCTATAACAACGAATGGCAGGAACACCACAACAGTATAACCAATTACTGTGGGCCCTGGTTAACAATATAACAAACTATAACATCGAAATCTATCAGTAAACACGAAGCTCTAGGAAGATGTTCTGGTAGATTATGACAATGAGAAAAGACGTAATTGGCTTACATAAACAAAAGGAACATTGTTCTTGCTTCGTTCTTTAGAAAATCCATTCTATAGCTTGTTCTTTTGTCATTGTCATAATCAACCAATCACAGAACATCTTCCTAGAGCTTCGTGCCGACCCAAATCTATGAACAGTATAAATAGAATAAAGAATGTCGTATATTAGACTGATATAGAATTTCCACTTGATAATTCCCATCTACAGAACCCTCCAATATAAAAACAATTGTTTACACCCATTTTCAAAATTACGCGACCTCCCTGAAAAATACTCTTACTTCAAATGTCAGTTTTATGTCACAAAAACTGCTAAAAATAGCAAACGTAAACAAACTGGCAAAAGACATTTTAAATCGTATTTAATACCAAAACTGAACAAAAATGAGCTAGATAACTTAGATATACAAACTAAAGCACTATACAAACCATCACAACAGAAATATGTGCCGTGAATAACTTTTAAAGTTTGAAAAATAACAATTTATCCTCGAATTTAGCTGTCCGTATAAAACACGCGCGCTAGACTATAACGATATGTTATGATTTTGTGCTTAAATTTTGCAATAATTCTCACTAAAATATCTTGAAAATCATTGTAAGCATCTTTATATAAAGCATATAAAGCATATACATCGACAAGGAACCGCAAACTCGAAGTTTAAACTTCGTGACCGAATGACATAAAACTGACATGTCAACTCTAGCATTTTCGTCCTTGGTCGCGTAATTTTGAAAACGGGTGTAATATGGTTTAAATAAAACGTTTGGTCACTGAGGTATTTTAGCGCTTTATAAGTTTTTATCTTTGGCAAATATCCGGCATGGTCGTCGATGAGATGAAGAATTTGGTCGCAATAGGTGTTCAAGACTTACACATAGGGAAACACTTGGTGGTCAACTTTACATAAGGCATATTACTTACTTTACTTAAGGCATATTGCCGCTTTATGCCTTGTATAAGCAAGTAAATTTCGTTAAATTGCATATATTTAGTACCAAACACAAGATCAATACTTGTAATGAATATTTAACTCTATCCGATAAATGTGTTTCCATTTCGAGTTGATCACCGAGCTCTAAACCTATCACGTGACCGAAACCCAGCTATTGCTCATTTCAACCGCTGAACAAGAATACAGTTAAAATATACTCTTACATATATCATTTAATTTGACCATTCTACATTTTTCAAAATTTGACCATTCTACATTTTTCAATAGTTAGTATTCTGCCGCTACATGTACATTTAAGTGTTAATTATTTCTGTATACAAGTTAATACAGGATATATTGTATAAAATAAGCAACTAAAAGTCTAAAAACTTCTGTTTTATTTTAAGTAAGAGACTCGGAGCTTGAAAAATTGCTTATAGTGTTCATGCGATATCTTTTTTTATCGTTTTTGAACGGTAGAGTAGACCCTCTCAGAAGGACGTCACTTTGGCTACAGAGCCTCGTTTTCGCGATTCAGAAGCTTGCATTTAACTGATCTCGCATACGTAAAAACGAGGCTCCATAGCCAAATTGCGCACTTTCCAGGAAAGTGTAATTTTTTCAAGCTCCGAGTCTCTGAATGGACCATTCCCCAATTAACCAAAATTTTGATCTCAACAAGTCTATAGACAAACTTCCATCACAGCTTGAAAGAGCATCACAAAATTAGTAATATTCCAAAGGTTCATTGCAAAATGTTGTAAAATGCGGATAATATATATAGCCTTGCGAAGTTTGTAATTTTTAGTCGTTTTAGATTACGCATAGAAGTGGTAACCATTTCCAGTTTGTAATCTAAAATGACTGAAAATTACAAACTTCGCAAGGCTATAATATCCACATTTTACAACATTTTGCAACGAAACTTTGGAATATTACTAATTTTGTGATGCTCTTTCAAGCTGTGATGAAATTTTTGTCTAGACTTGTTGAGTTCAAAATTTTGGTTAAATTAATTGGGGAATGGTCTCGCATTATATAGCCCGATTCTCACAATTCACCCTTTAGATCCCTATTATGTGTTCAAAGTTCTACATTCTACAAGATTGCCATATATATATAAATCATTTTATTGCTGTAATCTCAGGAATATAAGCTACAAAAAGTTCCTAAAACAAGTAATATGAAAAGTCCCACAGGTTTGACGGAGGTCGATGAATCATGCTGTACTTGAAACAATATACCGGTACTTGTTCTTGCTTTCTCGTGTTGCAGAATATTTATTGTTTCCTTTTTAGATGCTTCTACTACGTTTGGTCGTTGTGTTTTATCATCATCAGGTTCTTTAATTGTCACTGTCACAAAACGGAACTGTTATGAAATTAGTCAGAACAGGTATTTATGTTATTATGTATATATTATACAAATAATGAATGTTTTATGAGTGCAATGGTATAAAGAATATTTTCATGAGGTGAAAGATGGAATGTTCCATAATTATTTCAATCAACGCATGCGTCCAAGAACAAAAAAATTTCAAAAAATTTTGGATAGGTCATACTCTATTAATACTAACATACATTTTGAAACGTTTCTGAAGGAAGTGGACGATACTGATTCTTTCTGTTAGGGGTAGGGTGGGGGTGAGATTATTGAAAATTGGAGGGGTTCCTTGCCTCTTCTACCCCCTCCGCTCCCTATGAAAAATGAACTTACGACATTCAATATGCATGATCAAATACTTCTTCACGTTTTGCGGACATTTCTCCACTTCTCCCAAGTTAGTAGTGTTGATAGTTAAGGGAGCACACTTCTGTTTTCCATCACAAAGTGGGCTGATTATGTCATGGACGTCTTTCATGCGACAGATACGAGTGCTGTTTTCATCCTTCACATCAGGCTGGCACATTATGTCTTGATCTCTTCCATACTTGGCGGAATCTACTCGGATGCCATGGTTATCTTTGCATTTTGCCAATTGCGAAATGTCATATCCATCGCAGAACACTAGCGGTGGTTCACTTGCATCTAGGGAAGAGATAGTTTTCAGGTAGTGGCATCCCTATCAATCCGAAGATTTCTTCGTATTTAAGCGGGCTTAAACAACCTTTGTTGTTATATACTGGCTCTACTGTTTCCAAACTTTTCTCTTCATGTACAGTATAGATAGGTCTAGTATATTGTAAAACTGTCTGTACCAGTGTTGGTAGTACCAATGTGAAAATGCTGTGCTGAGTGGTTATATTACTACCTTAAAAAATAAGCATAAACTCGACGTTTCGAGCGAAGGCCCTTCGTCAAGAGTTAGTAGCTAGTATATTGGTCAATCTTTTTATTATCTGCGCTATGAGGTTATGTTTCCATCCGCATTTGTCAGATGTATGTTTGTGTGTTTGTCAGTACGAATATCAAACGTATTTTTTAAGAGGAGACTTTTTTGTACGTTACGTAACACGCGCTCAAAACTAATAAATGAGTGCAAAGGCTGATTTCCACTGTTGCGTTTTTCATACGTACGCATATATAGGAGGTACGCACGTAAAACTTTAAATCCGTTTAAATGTTACTTATTAAATAATCAAATAAATAAAACAACAGAATTTAGTGTTCCTCAAATCTTAGTATAGTAACTTATTTGTAAAATATTTAAAAAATAGAAGGATTCAAAGTTTTACGTGCATGTACGTGCGTACGAAAAACGCAACAGTGGAAGTCAGCCTTTATATACCACTTGCTGTTATGACTATACAATCATCCAAAATTTTTATTTTTCGATACGTTTCTCAATCGGCAAACAAACTATAAAAAGTATGTTTAGTCCTTTTATCTGTAAAATAATGCCAAAATGAAGAGATTTTAGATGATACGAGAAAATTATGTCTGGAGTTCATCTAGTTTGGCTTATATTGCTGTAAATATGGCGTCACTTTTAAAACGTCATTGATATATAATTGTATTTTAATTGACAATTTTTTGCTATCATTTTATGTTTCTCAACTGGCAAATGCATTCAAAAAGGTTGCTAACCGTATAAACTAGAGAATAAAGCTAAAACGAAGCAATTTTGAGAGGAACGACCAAAAGATTTTCGGTCTTGAACGCTTTGCATCGCAAATACGTGACATAGAAAAAAAGCCTCTTAATACCAAAATTTGTGTGACTAATGGACATTGCCCAAGGACAAAGTGATTAAATTTTGGTTAACTTCGGTTGAAAATTGGGTGAAAAATTAGCAACAGTTTGTCATTGGGCAGACTAAGCGGAATGCGTAATTAGCGCATTGTGTAATTTATGCATGATACAGAAGTACATAACTTAATTCACTGACGGAGTCTGCAAGCGTTCTCTAGTTGATCCTGTGTTACAACAGAATGAAACAATCTGAACTATAAACAGCATAATCATATATAGACTGGATCTGTTCTAAACTATTCTAACCAGAGGTCTAGTTATGGTCATTCTTTATTGGATCTATTGAACTCTTTTGTTCATGACTTCGTGGAAGATCTATCCTCAAAACCTTTATTTATACTAGATTGCTCTATATATTAGTTCTAAACTGTTCTCTTTGCAGTCCTAGAACCAATAAGGCCATCCTTTCTTGGTAATTGGCATTGTATAACACTGTCGCGCAAGTTTTCATCAATTTGTTAACGCCCCTGCTTGCAGCTATGCAAAGTTTTCATTCGGCTGAAATTCCGAAACAGATGTGCCGAAACAAACCTTAACATCAGAGGCATCTCTTTGATTTTCCGTTCCGGCCATTCTTTAGTCGTGGGGTATTAAAATCACGAAACATAAGCTATCGATAACACTAAGCAAAACATGCGATATCTATAAGTCCATTAAAAGATAACTAAATCAACCGCGAATAACCTCGTTGGAGTATAAAAGTTTTAGTCTTTCACAAAACCTAAGGGAAATTTCGTAATTCTGTGAAGATTATTACCAAAAATGCCATCCAGTTACCTGTGGAAAAAACCAGAAGAGAAAATACGATGACAGCTACGCCGAATCGTGCCATGTTGAACCAGAGGGAAGCTTACTTGTCTTTGGCTTGTATAACCAAGTGAATATCCTCTTTGTTGTGTTGACCAGCTTGTATGATGCGTGAACCGCAACATCTGTCAATTATTTATCGATGGGCAGCCATCCTGTCGTTCTATACACTTGATATGCTATTGTGTTAAACCAGAATCTCCAGTTTACCCCGTTATTAGACACGGTTTGGTCGGAATCAAATCAGCTTGGAATCAAATCGCGGTCATTTTTGAGTGCTCTGTTGTCGCAAACATGATCTTTCCTGACTGAATTTATCATCACCTTCCACCACACTTTTTCATGTTTCACCTTATGAGAAAATTTTTTGACTACAATAAAGAACGCAATAATTTGTTCCCTTTTTATATGAATTTTGCCACCATATTACTGTAAATTAAAAAGCATTTCATGCTAGTATATTTAGAACGATTCTTTTTTTTAAATTTTGTATAAATTTTTTTGTATTAATTTTTAATTTTTAATCATAGTTTCATTTCCAAATGAAGTTATCCTGTTTGGACAACTATAATGAATCTTCTTGAAACACTGTTTAAGACTAAAATTAGAAAAAAAGTATTAAAGGATATTTCTCCATTAAATTTTTTATAGGTTTAGTGTTATTAGACCAAATAAGTAATTAATTTTTAATAGAATAATGAGGGTCTCATTTCGAAATTTTCCTGCTAAGTAATTGCAATAAACTCTGCACTGTTAAACTGTTAACCTTTATATAGTAAAAGACTGTGATTTGCGAAAATCCTGCAAGAAAAGCATGCAGGCATATTTCATGTATGCGTCAGCCATTAGGCTATGTTTGTCCATCGCGCTCTGCCGGCTCCTATGTAAACTACAGTACATATGCCGGTTTCTTTGTCTATTGAATGCTTTTATAATAAATAGTTTTTAAGACAGCTTTTTGTAAGGCAGATGGTCTATAGAGGTTATTATTCAAGAAGAAGTGATGCAAGAAAAAAAGTTGACGCTTTCTCTCTTGTTCTGTCATTTAACTTGTCAGTGAGCCTGCTCTGGTCAGCCGTATCTTATTGTAGAATCGTCTGACATATGACCCGATTACTCCGTCTAATGCCAGACTCTTTTAATTCTCTGTGGAAACTTTTTCGGGCAAGACGTTTTGAGACTGATTTCATCATTTCAACACCTATGACCAAACGAACTTTTATTTTAAACAAATTCTTCTTGGCGAGATATTTTCCTTTGATCTTGGATTTCTATCTCACCACATACGCCGTAACATCAAATATTCAAAAGTCTAAAATTGTGTGGTTTTCATTCCGTCACCGCAAGTCATTTACTCACTTGAAGTTTTTAAATAAATCACAAGTTTGCATGAAAACAGACGAGATTAGTCCCAGGGTATATTTAGGATATTTTATTGCCTGTCGTATATCACACTTTCCTCTATTAAATCTCACTTTCATTAATATGTCATGAGGAAATTATCCAACTCAGGTCTAGGTGAAGTTTTGAAAGAAGTTCAAATTCAGTACTAACTCCACAACGCTTTGAACAAATTTATAGTCCTGAGTAATTAGACTAGGATAGGAGAATCAAAATCCAGTCTAGAACTTGATTAAACTTTATCCAGTCTTAGAACTTGGTCGAATTCCATCCAGTCCTAGGACTTCATCATAGCTTGATTTATTCCTAGGACTTGATCAAACTTCATCCAGTCCTAGGACTTGATCAAACTTCATCCAGTCCTAAGACTTGATCAAACTTCATCCAGTCCTAAGTTGATCAAACTTCATCCAGTCCTAAGACTTGATCAAACTTCATCCAGTCCTAAGACTTGATCAAACTTCAGGACTTGATCAAACTTCATCCAGACCTAAGACTTGATCAAACTTCATCCAGTCCTAAGACTTGATCAAACTTCATCCAGTCCTAGGACTTGATCAAACTTCATCCAGTCCTAAGACTTGATCAAACTTCATCCAGACCTAAGACTTGAACAAACTTCGTCCAGTCCTAAGACTTGATCAAACTTCATCTAGTCCTAAAGGCCATATTACACGGTACAATTTTTCTTGCAACTTGCAATGCAATTCTACTCTTGAGAGTTGTTAATTAGTGAAATCAGTGAAGAATTTTCGATATGTTGAGAAAACATCAGCGGAGTGTAATGAAGACTCGTATTTGGCAATTTTACATTTCTCAAGAGTAGAATTGCATTGCAAGTTGCAAGAAAAATTGCACCGTGTAACATGGCCTTAAGACTTGATCAAACTTCATCCAGTCCTAGGACTTGATCAAACTTCATCCAGTCCTAGGACTTGATCAAACTTCATCCAGACCTAAGACTTGATCAGACTTCATCCAGTCCTAAGACTTGATCAAATTTTATCCAGTCCTAAGACTTGATCAAACTTCATCCAGACCTAAGACTTGATCAAACTTCATCCAGTCCTAAGACTTGATCAGACTTATCAAGTCCTAGGACTTGATCAAAACTCCACCAACTCTAATGACTTAATCAAACTTCATCCAATCCTAGGATTTGATCAAACTTCATCTAGTCCTGGGACTTAGTCAATCAGTCCTAAGACTTGACCAAAAAATCTAACACTATCATATTTTTACATTGTTTGTATATATAGATATGTATATATAATTTCATAATATTTATTATTCTGACGATTTAAAGTGGACCTTTCTTGTTGCCGTTCTCGAAGGATTTTTATCTAAATTATTCTCGTCCTTAGTCTTCGCCTCTCGATAACCGCTCACACACATGTGTGGTAGGGGTGAAATAGGGATTAATGGGGGTGGAGGGGGAGGCAGTGGGGGTAAATCATCATCACTCAGCTGTTTTTGAAGTTTATGTTCGGTTTTCCTGCCAGAATTGTGTGAGTTAGTTATATCTGCAGGATATTCAACTAGAGGTGACGTATTGTTGCTATAGTAACCAGAACTTGCCCTGCTGTCCGTAGGTGATTTTTTAGATAGTCTTTTGGGTACGTTTTGTGCTTGGCCATTTTGAGCTTGGCTTTGGGTTTTATTGTCGACTAGGACTTTAGGCCAAAGACTTGGACTATTTTTGTTCTTTACAAAAGGTGGTGGTTTATTTTGGTGTTGGATAATTGTGGGGTTGTGTGAAGGGGAGTTTTGTGAGGTTGGGGTAGGGTTGTGTGATGCGGTGTTGTATGTATTGTGTAAGGGTGTTGTCTTTGCGGGACTAGAAGAGTCGAGACTCAGACTTCGTAGTGGTCTTGAACGAACTTTAAGCCTGGTTACTGCGCGAGGTGATCCTTGAAGATCTAAAAGAAAACAAGATAACAATTTGTTAATAACATCGCTTTTGAAGAGTATTTGTCAGCTTTTAATTGATTTGAATACAGGTTTTATACATGAACGTGCGGGTTAGAGCACGACAACTGAACTCAGTTGGTTCGAGCACTGCACCGGAATCGCAGGGTCGCAGGTTCAATTCCTGCCAGGGACCTATACTTGCATTTTTCACAACTGTTCCTGGTTAGATCTAAATAAATGTATAAAATTCCATCTACAAAATCCTTCAACTCTGGTGAACCATTCACGTTTAACTAACCTCACGCTTACTGGCTGAGCTAATTGAAACCTTCAAATTTAGAAACATCGTGGGTTCCTTGTGAGGATCATGCTTAGAGGAAAACGAAGATAACTGGTTACTAATGGGTTGTTGCTTTCTTGCTTGTGAGTTAAATATACAGCACAAGTGGACACGAATGCTGTGCATAGCTTGTGAGACGTGATGATTTCGACAGTTGTAAAAAATTATTCATAAGAGGTGATTTTACAGAGAAAATCGAGGAAAAATGTATGCAAATCGGGATAATTTTGAACACGTGGATACAACACCTCATTAAACATTGATTTCGTTTGGATTTTCTTCATGAATTAATAGAGGTTCAGATTTGACTTCCACAACCGCTACCATCAAGGGACTATCTGCCAATCAGATGCGTTTCATATATTCGATTAACCAATCAGATGCATTTCATATATTCGATTAACCAATCAGATGCGTTACATATATTCGATTAACCAATCAGATGAGGACTAAGCCAGTGAGTGGTAGTGGAAATCAAATCTGAACCTCTATATTAATGAGTTTAGTTTAATAACCATTACAAGAACCTACCGTGTTTGTCTTGCTGATTGAACTCCTCACTAAAAAGACAGGGTGACGAAAGAGCTGTAATAGATAAGTTTTGCGTTGGACATGCATCGTCGCTGTATATGCCGAACTTTGACAGTAGCTTATTGGAGGGATTCCTATAATCATTGGTCGACGAGCTTGGTTTTTCTTCGCTCATGTGGTTACCATTATCTTCAGCAACTTCCGGTTTTGTTGTGGTACTCGCTTCAGGTGATGTGTTACTCACTTCCGGTTTCTTTGTTCTTGTTGGTTCCGTGTGGAAGATTTTCGGATCGGGGACTGGGTGTGAGGGGATTCCGACTGGTATTGAAGTTATGAAGTTCGCATCAGATTCGCCAACACTTCGTCTCTTGTTCGTGGGTACTCGTGAGGGATCGATGTTACTCGTGGATTGTCCTGGGTTGGTGTCTGGTTGTTGGTTGTTGTTGATGGTGTTGTTGTTGATGTTGTCGCTATTCCGTTGGCTACCACTATCACTGTTACTGCTGTTTCTGTTACTGCTACCGTTACTATCAGTGTTTATATCATCACGATGGTCTATGTCATCATTTTCTGCAGCTGCACCCAAATTCCAAGGTTCAGACCTACTTAGCCCTTCTCTCTCATCCTGACCAGTGTCTAGCTCTGCCTCGCCACCTTGAGTTGTTAAACTCATATACTTCTCTTGCCAACCTCGCCATAATGGATTAATATACAACGATGTGTCTGCTTTCAACAGATCCGACCACGAGCCCATTCCTGGAAAACTTTTGCCTACAGGCCTGCCTGTACCTCTCTTTGCTTTTAATTTTTCCACAGCGGCTTGACGTCTTTCTAAATCGGGTGACTCTGGGAACTGCGAGCTTGTGTGAATGGTAGGACTTTGTACTTCGTCCTCCTCTGATTCCAGTTGACTCAGACTAAAGAGTTTCTTGTGTCTCGGGTTTCCCCTTATTCCCAAGATGAGGAATGTTATGGTGATTATGAATAAGCCAAGGAGAATACCAATAAAGCACCACATTAATGCCATCGGCGGGTCTTCATTGGCGGCCTCTGAAAAAGAAACAACATGTTTTTCATTTAGTCCACTGAAGATACGAACCTCGTGTCGTTCACATCTGTGACTGCGGTTCGATTCCAGCAATAGGCTGTTGTCTCATTATAAACAAGCTTTCATTGGTAGGAATGCAACTACCTGAAAAATATAAGGAGAATTTCGACGTTTCGAGCGAAGGCTCTTCGTCTGGAGGGTCTTCACTTGAAGGGCCTTCCTCCTCATCTTGAAGGCCTTCGCTCGAAAAACGTCGAAATTCTCCTTATATATTTTTCAGGTAGTTGTATCCCTACCAACGAAAGCTTGTTTATATTATTGGCAGGCACCCTGGCATAGATAGTTCAAGATGTAGTCAGTCTGATTATAATTTCGCCACAGTTACACCTACGGGGAGTCGTTCCAATTTGATTCTACCGAACACAGGACATCTAGGGTGAGCAAACTATAGGTTTCCTCCTGTAGTAACACTCGACCAGTTAGGATCCGACATTGCTGAAACTCTGCGGAGAATAGTTAAGGCAAGCTGATAGAGCTAGCCTGCGTAGCTGGCAGGTTTAAAGGGTTGGGGTCGAGGCTCGCCTCCCTAAATTTTCGCTGTCCGCGCCTCAACCCTTACGCAGGCTATGATAGAGATGTCTTAGTACATACAATAAAAGTTAGGTTATGTTTCTTCCTTTAGAAACACTGGACCCCTAAGGGACAGCCCTTACTGGGCATTTGGGAAGAAAAGTTTAGAACTGATAGAGCTGTCTAGTATAATAATGTACTGTAAATAGAGTTAGTTTAGGTTTCTACCATTAGCTGGATATCCAGCAAGAACAGTTTAGAACTGATAGAGCTGTCTAGTGTATGTACTGTAAATAGAGTTAGCCGTTTACGTTTCTACCATTAGCTGGATATCCGTAGTATATGTACTGTAAATAGAGTTAGTTTAAGTTTCTACCATTAGCTGGATATCCAGGAAGAACAGTTTAGAACTGATAGAGCTGTCTAGAGTATGTACTGTAAATAGAGTTAGTTTGCTAACCATTGTAGGCAACGAATAGTTCCAGCAACAGAAAGAATGCTTTATTTCTTCCACGTCTGTGTTGTGGTAGTAACGTACTATTCTTTGAACTGTTCACCGAGATAGTCGCTGTGATCGCAAGACTCTGAGTTGAGACAGTCGTGGTTGGTTTGATCGTCATCTTGATTGGTATATATGTTGAGTTTGTGACATTTTGCGACATTGATTGACCAATGGTAGTGAGAATTGGTGTGGGGTGTATGATGGTGTAAGTGGAAGATGTTATGTTAGTCCTGTTTATGCATGATGATAATGTTGACCTCGGATTTCTCGTGATTCTTCGTCGACAGTCTGTAGAAGACAAAACAGATACCAAAGTTATCACGATAATATTTCACGGTTTAAAAATGGATAACATTCACCTGCAATCGCTGTTGGCTCGATCAGGGGCGTAGCCTTCCCCCTAAGGAGTGAGGAGGGGGTCTAATCCGATACACAGAACAACTAGGGAGTATGGCCGTGTAGGGGTATGGTCCCCCAGTGAAAACATTTCTAGGGTCTCCGAAACACTATTTCATGCATTTTAGACATGTATTATGATCGAAAACTTTATTTAAACAAACCAAACACAAACTTTATGAAAAATAGCTTTTCATACCGCGGAGCTGTATCCTGGAATAGTCTTCCAGCTGAAATTGTCGATGTATACGACCAACTTTCCTTGTATTTTTTTAAAACTTTAATAAATCATCACTACAAGGACTTGGAGGGAAATACATCGACAACTTAATTAACATAATTCTCTTTTGTAAGAATTGTTGTGAATAGTAGTGGCTTTTGTATATATGTATTCACAAATGCCCCCTTGAAAATCAGTTTTTCTTTACCGCTGAAGGGCTCCCTTTTTCAAATAATTTTAAATAATAATAATCTGAAGGCCACAGATTTGGTATATTTTATGTCATAGATGAAAGCATTACGAGGTTCTTGTTTTCGGGCATCTTGTATAATTTGCAGTGATGATGAAAATCTAATTGTTTTTCCGCTGAAATAAAATCTTTTCTTTTTCTTGTAGATTTGGTTCATTTGTGGAGGGGAATCATGGAGACATACAAACAAGCGTATATTAACATCACACGGTGTTGGTAAGTTTTAAAATCTCCTTACTTGTATAATTCTAGTAGGATAGTTTCGGAATGCCTTGTTACTGAAGTACTGTAGGGTATACTGGATTTATTAGATTCATCCAGTATACACGACTTACATATTCATACTTCGATCCTCCCCCCCCCCCCCTTTCCTTAAGGGAAGAAGACAAGAAAAGGGGGGGAGACTTTTTTGTCGTAATGGGGAGGTGTGTACGTGTTTACTGATAAGAGGATGGTTGGTTTAAAAAGGGGGAGATGAGCAAAAACTGTCATTTTTTGACTTCTTCTCTACCAGAACATTTTTTTACTCTAAGCAAAGTTGGCTATGGTTTAGGTAATGACCTGTGAGTTTGCTTTCTCCATATTCGATATCTTCAGGGCGTATGTCGTGTCTAGGCCGCGCGCGGTCCCTATAACGTTGGCTACGTCATTAAAATATACTCATACTTACTACAGTTAAATCTAACCCACATGTATTTATACACGTGTGGACAAGGATCATGAAAGGTTACGTTATTCACATTGAAAACGCACGGTGATTGATCAGCACAGATCTCCTCCACCTTCGCTGCCACATCGAGCTCGCATTTCACGGATTTCGACCGCCCTGGGTTTTTATTTCCTGGTCTAAGACATAACTGTCTCTCGTCCAGTGTCCTGCCAAATGTCGCGTGCGTTATTTTCATCAAAGGTTTTCCCCGTGGGCATGATAGAGTTATGTTGTTCCCTTCGCAAGATATGTTGTATCCTTTCTCTGCAAGAATGCAAGCAATAAAGGAAATTTGAAATCTGTAGACTGCATTGACTGCATGATTTTTATGCAGGCTTTTTTTCAGGGATCTTTTAGGGCCGTTAAACGGCCCCAAAAACTCAATCTTGAATTGAGTTTTGAAACTCAATCTTCTCACCAAAGTTTCAGTGCAGTAAAATGAAGTTGATTGAGCTAAATTCGTGACGTGTGGAAATTAGTTTTCAGTTGGAAATCCGTCAATTAAAAAAAAGTGGCTGGAATTCATCTCACAACACAAGAAAAACTATGCATTCGCCATCTTTAACCAGTTTATAGTCTCCCTTAGTGCCCCTGCTTTAACACATTCCGTCTCAACTACATTTATTGAGTACAGGTGTCAGCCCCCGGTAGGGGGGGGGGCAGCCACCCCAACTGTTCAGCTAAACTCAATCTTCTCTGCAAAAACGGACCCAAGAGAAAATCCTGAAAAAAACCCTGTTATGACGTCCCTAATTCACAAATTTAGATTAAGTTTACATGCTTATTAATCAGTATTGGAAAATGTCTGCTATAGCACCACCAGCACCGCTCAGGCCAGGAAATTTTTAATAAAATATCTTGTCATTGCCATACAATTTGCTTGTTGATTTAAAGTTCCAAATATATTTTTGGCATGAAATTGTCATATCTGGAAGGGTATTACTACAAAACACTATTTGAAACCTAGCTATGCAGAAAGTCTTACATTTGTTTTACATGCTGAGAAAAATGTTCTTTTTGGATTTTGCTATACCAGGGAGAATTTTTTCTCTACGCCTGTTATCAACATACATTTGGTTTACATGCGGGAAATTTTTCTTTTTGGATTTTGCTATCAGGGAGAAAAAAAACTTTCTATGCCTGCTATTAATGGGGCGAGCAGGGATGTGGTAATCATCCATACTTGCAGTTGAGAGCACAACCTGATAGATTTAAAGGCTTACTAAGGCGTCTCAAGGCGTCTCATGCTGCTTGTCTGGACCTGTATGAGCCTATTATTTACAATTGCTCTAAGTATAGTTTACTAATGGAGTAAACTGGCATGAGAAAAACACACGAGACAGGCGTTAAACGGCCACATCATTTTACTGTAAGGTTAAGGAATTTTCCAAATAATTTTCTATTACTGTAAGTGTCGTACAATGAAGCCAAGAAGTTAACAAGGAATTTCTTAATCTTCCTCAGGTAGTTTTGACACAAAAATACACCTTTTTTTTGTGAAAATACAAAGGTCCATGAAGGTCAACTGAATCCCTACGTTTGTAAGATCATTAAGCATCTTCAATTGACTTCATGAAATATACATGGCACCACTGGGGCATTCATGCCACCAACTGCGACTATAATTCCCTTTCCCGCAAAACCGCGCAACTGGCAAAATTAAGCTATTCTCTTATTGTAATAGTAAGTCCATACTTTGTTGTTGTTGATTGTCGCACAAACTTCAAAAGAGAAAATAGGCATAATTTTTGTACTATATTTTACATCCTTGAGAGTTAATTATACTGTTTTAAAACTTGTCGCATGTGATGTTTTGACGTTTAAATTGTTCAGCATTCATGCTGGGAAGCAATTATTTCTGCTAACGAGATAAGTGCAAATAATTTCAACTACAAAATGCACCTGCTAGCAGTGGTTTCTAGCTAGAACACGACAGAGTTCGTAAAGCATTTGAGTAGTTTTACAGTTTAAAAAAATACAAGCAAATAAAGCAAGACAGCAAATGCCGCACATGCTGACTTTTGTCAGAATATCTTTAAACAAATCAATTTCTGAATAGTTGCATGTATAAACGAAGTTATTTTAGTTTCAGAAAAACAAACTTGCGTCAGAATAGATTAAAGTAAACTAACTTTATTTATGCTGGATAGTTCTACAGTATCTCTTCGAAGCAGTTCTCGAATTTTTCTCAGATAATTCCACCTTGAATTATCGACACCCCACACCACTTATCTGTCATACCCCATGTGAAGAAGAATGGACATTCGTTGTCATTTGCAAGTAGTATAGCATAGCATGTAAAAGCATGGCAATTTAAACTATGCATGGCAAATTAGCAGTATAGTATGGCACGTTAGAATTAAAATATGCTAAAATCGCCATAAATCTTCAAATTCTCAAGTTACCGAATATTTTACAGTTCAGTGTTTCTAATTCTCACACATAGCTATCTCAATTAAGCCCGTTTTCCACAGTGGGCGAATTTGTTTGCGCGAAGCGTCTTTTCCTTTATCGGCAGCATTTTTGCTGACGTGATAAGCGACGCCGACAAAGTAGAAACTTACGGTGGCTCAGAAGGGCCATCTCTCTCTCTTCTTTTTTCCAGCCGCGCTCTGAATTATCGCGCACTTTCAGTTATACCGTCACTATGCCGCGGGTTAAGGCGCCACTTATCCCATCATGTGTTTACTCACATGACCGAAATGTTTATCACAACCAAAAGATCATGACATATGTTTACATAATATTGTTTGCATTATTATCCACAGTAGAAGCAGTATTCCCAAAGTATAATCCCGTATTGGGTGCCTTAGATACACCAAATCGCGACGAGCTTGTTGAAAAGTACTTTCATCTAGGACTAAAGGCTGTTGAAATTTTTGGTTTCCTTGCCAATGTCCATGGTTTCACGTTGAGTCTTAGGCAGCTTGAAAGAATTCTAAGAGCAAGAGGATGCCGGAGAATAAAAGCGGAGGAAGTTCAAGTTTACTTGGCTATAGAGCACCCTTGGCTATATTAAGGCACCCAATGCGGGATTATTCTTTGTGGGATAAGTGGCGCCTTAACCCGAGGCTAAAGTGGCGCCTTAACCCGCGCCATAACATGCGGCATAACTGAAAGTGCGCAGCTCAAAACTGGAAGTACGGCTGATAAGTAGCGTGATAATTCAGAGCGAGGCTGGAAAAAAGAAGAGAGAGATGGGCCTTCTGAGCCACCGTATAGAAATTCGCTTCCCGTGAATTTGCGTAGTGGAAAACCTTTTTTTAAGTCACTTTCAAGCAACAATATACACGCGTCCATTTATTATTTATTGTAATTTTGACAGCATCAATGGATATGCCATTAGTACGAGACGTAAACACCACAGCATGTACGTATTAATTTTTTTAAATTGAATTTTTGCTCGCTTTCAGCACGCAAATCAAGATGTTTACTTTAACAATTATCTGCAGGCTGCGTTGGCGTACAGCTTGTAAACGCACGGTGTAATTTCAGAAAACTCATTTGTAAAATTGACCACGGGTCGTCGGATTTGATCAGGGGTCAGTTGTATGAAGGTCGGATAGGGCTATCCATCTGATAGTGATTTGTTGAACAGCCATGTAAAGATGTTGACCTCGCACTAAATAAAATGAGACCTTGATTCATAAATATACTAAAGTTTTAATCGGAGTCATATACCGATTAGCAGACAATTTTAGAAATTAAAAAAAAATCTAGTGCATGGATAGTGCTATACGGCCCAGATGGGTTTATTTGCTTGAAAAGAGCTCTATCTATATTCATTTAAAAATGAACCGACTGTATATGTGAGGGGGGAGGGAGGATCCGTTATGTATAACGCCTTGTACATATTGCACATGGAAAGAGCGAAATTGCCACGTTATTTATAAAAGAACAAACCCTGGTACATCCATGTTTTTCTTATTGGGGAAGGTTGCTTGCTTTCAGTCCGATTCTATATTTGGACAATGCTTACTCACACCAGAGAGAGCCCTGGGAACGAGGTCGAGAAATAGATATAGTGCTTGATACCGTGAGTGCATGAACCGCTGAGGCTAAATATACATACGAATTGGTAAAAATGGTCTCATTATATAGCTTTTTGTGGTGACTATATACGGAGTCGTACTAATATATTGTGACCAACATTCGTAGTTCGTATCACATCAGTGTAGGAAATATATTCAATCTTGAAATATCTGTGCCAGTGTGGATAAAAATAATTTAACAGAGTTTAATCTTGAACTGCCTAAAACTAATCATTTATATAACACAAGACGCAAAGATGATATATACCTCTGTAAGCCGAAGACAAACTGGGGAAAGCAAAAACTGCTTTACCAGGCTTGTAAAGAGAACAACGATTTGGACTATAATACTAGATCCATTTAACAGTTAGGAACCTTTAGAAATGAACTTCTCAAATCTCTATCTTTATAATACTCATACAGTATATTTAAAATATAACTACTAACTCTTTGTATCCTTGTAAATATGTATAGCATCATGTATACTATATATGTAGTCTCATAATTTTTCTGGTATATCATGCATATATATCCATATACCAATATATAATGATTATGTAAATACTGCACGCATACTATATATATATTTTCTATACTTTGTATTATAATGTTTTGCAGGAACCATCTGAAAAACCCTTCTTGTGATGTTGGTTTCCTGAATAAATATTATTATCATTCATTCATTCGTTCAGTGCCTACAACAAGAAAACTTCAGATTGATAGGGATACAACTACATGAAAAATACAAGGAGAACTTCGATGTTTCAAGCGATGACCCTTGGTACTAACTTTCCAACGAAGAGCCTTCGCTCGAAACGTCGAAGTTCTCCTTGTATTTTTCATGTAGTTGTATCCCTATCAATGCGAAGCTTTCTTAGGAAATATATAGTCCGTGTTACTTATCCAACATCACAATGCTTAACTGAGCAATGAGTTCTGTACAACGTTGGCACAACCCTCAAATAGTGCACATATACTACTTCTGTACGATCTATTAAACTACGGTTAGAGGTATATCGTGCATATATTCCAACCATTTTTCAACACTTATAAATAGCAGCTGCCCATTGTCTAAATATTTCATATATTTTCCTATTTTCCTACGCAAACGATATCAGAAAGCGAACTACACTTGCCATGACAGACTGTATACATACATTAATGCCAGTGACTCACACGGTCAGTGAACTCATTAGCGATATCGACTCTCAAGCGTCCGTCGGTTAAACGAGTTTTTTATGACACACGGGGCAGGCAGTTGGTGTGGTTATAATGGAACCGCAGACACGCTAAACAAGCCCAAAAAGAGATATAATTCACTCGATATAGACTGGGGTTTCATTCTGGTCAAATTGCGCAACTTTATAGGTATTAATCCAATTGTATACACAACACTGGAAAAATTTTGAAAATCCATAGAAGGTCATAGAATGGAAATTGTATGGATCTTTATTGGAAATAGGATGGATTTTGATTATCCATAATAATTGTATATTTCCATACTTTGGAAATAGTATCGATATACTGTGGATTTAGTGGTGCAATTGCAAATCTCATAGTATGGATTTCACAATTTTTTTCCCAGTGCAGTTCACTGGTTTTAACGACTTTTGATACTCCAGTTACACACAGAGCCCACTGGTTCACTTTTACTAATACCTACTCGTTCAAATTTATGCTCAGTAAAAACGATATTTCAGGTATCATAAATATCTCAAACGTGCGTTCCAGTGTGTAGGTCTTTAATAAACCGCTGTGGTTTGTGTCTGAAAAGTTTCAAGCTGCGAAAGCCTTTCTTCAGAAAGTTATTGTAGTACATAAACCATTTTCCGAACAAAATCTCGGTTTGGTAGGAACACAACTATACCTGAAAAATACAAGAAGGAACTTCGAATGAAGGCCCTTCGTCGCCTACGCCCAAACACTTATCTCCTATTCTTGTTTGTCTAAAATATCTGCGGCAATTCACATTTTGGGATTAAGATAACTATGAATAGATATTGGACAACTTATCTGATGTTTTGTATATTTGAACACCTGGCCCGCATACGAACTGCACGCCGAATAAGGCGCAAGTTTTCTCGCGCTGTTTTTGGAAGATCGAGTATTGTTAAGTATTTTCAAGTTCTCATAATCTTACAGCCTTATAGGAGTTCGATGGGATCTATAGTCTTTAACCTGGGTGGTCTAATATAGCTAGTGTATCTGCTAATCTCTTGACTGAGGCTTTCGCTCGTACAGTGTTTTTCTCAGAAACATCTAGCACACACCATTGAACTATATTCAGAAGAACTTGTATAATGTAAAAGGTTGGGTTTTGTGGATGGAAATTGCGAGTGTGGATTGTTATATATTTATTATACCTAACCAGGAGTTGTGAAAAATGCAATTATAGGCCTTGTGGCAGGAATTGAACCAGCGCCCTGCGATACCGGTGCAGTGCTCTAACCAACTGATGGTGGCCAAAATCCTGATGGTGTAAAAAGGCTTTACTCCGGGATATTTTACTCTGTCTAACACCAGACTGTCATTGGCATGCATGATCCAGCCACACAAAATCTTACTCGTCTGTATTGAATAGATGAACGATGAGGGATGACGGACGGTGATGACTTGGGCACAACCCACACAATTATACTTGTCAGCGGGCGAATCCTTTGACGCCGGGAAAGTAATTTTGTAAAGAGAACAAACCGCTTTACAATAATGACAATAATCACGCGAGGGCTTGGTTATTTTAATACTTCCAGTTCACAGTAATTTGCTACTGGTTGTAACTGGTTGATATAATTATTTGGGTTTTGGTATTTTTCTTTGCATTCGTGTAATTTTCTCAAATGGGGTCACGTAAACACAACATGACAGTTCAGGCTTTTAAGAATCTCGAAAGTTATCTTGCTGTGACGTTAGCGATTTCATGAAAGATACTCAATCATTCAAACATTTTGACGTATTTTTTTATTTGTCATTTCACTTTACCAATGAATATTTTTACTCATTTGAAGATAACGGTTTATTTTAATGATATCGATGCTCCCATGAGTCAAAACAATTTTACCGCTTACATCTTTGACTGTATCTGAGAAACTCTGACACAACGCTAGACGTATATAATCGATTAAACTTTATTTTTTACAACCTTTCCTCACGGTGAACGAATGAATGAATGAAACGTTTACTTAAACGTGGTAACTTCAGCGCTCTAGTGTGCTGTTGTCAACGAAGGCCTATGCAGCCATCTTGTCATGACGCTGACAAAACGGCAATATGCTTTGCGCGATCACCTTGGTAATACGAGGGCCAAATCAGTTTATATTGTGCCATTTATACGCGTGTGGTCCAGTGTAGGTAATATTCTACAATAACCTGCAGTGGTGTCTAAACTACTTGAGAAAAGATTAAATACATTTTGACGTTTTTGAGCGAAACTCCTTCGTCGGGACCTTTGTCTTCAATGCATACGTGATCCGTATTAAAGTGGCTCCACTCCACCTGTAGTGATTCCATATGTTTAGATGACAGATTTTGAAACTCTTTCATTCTCATCTTGATTCTCGAGAGATATTTAAAGGCCGATTTACCCGACTACACAACTTTTGCTTAAAACTGTCGCATGCAACCTGCTTACAACTTGAGTTGTACTGTGTAAATCAAGCACACAACTCACCTACGACAACTTGGGCGAGATATGTGCTTAGTTTACACAGACCTCAAGCTGTAAGCAGGTTGCATGCGACAGTTTTAGCCAAAAAATTGTGTAGTGTAAATTGGCCTTTACCCCTTCAGCACTCAACTTCATACAAATTTATGCTCAATGACACCTTATTCAAATCTGTGGTTCATTGAAGCAAACAAATTATATATCTTTAGTAATACTATTGCCCGAGTAACAATATATGACTCGTGCCAGGTCGAAGTCGAGATTCAAGATACCTTTCAATATAAACAACTTTACTCTCTAGAAACACTCAACCCCTTTCAAAAACCAGAATTTTTTTGAAACAGTCAAAATTTCGGCGTCGTATGTACTCGGCCCCTACGGGCTAAAAGGTTTAAGATAAAAAACAAAACTTAAGAACAACTAAGATATTATCAGTGAAATTTTTCTGTCGTCCAAACTCAAAAAAATTCCGGACACCTTATGTCATTTTCAATGGGTTATATATACGTACGGAAGTATACGCATCTTTTTCACATTTCGGTTTTCTTACCTGCGTCCCCGCAATCAAGTTCGCTGTTCGGGTTAATAGCCACACGACATTGCAGAGTCATCCACAAGACAAGCAGAATCTATACAACATAAATTATGTCGCGTTAACAAGCTCAGTTGAAGCAACATACTATCTAGTTTAGCCGCACTTCATTCCAAGTTACATGAAATGTTCACAAGTCAAACTTGAAATTTGTTAAACGTTGATATATTCGACGGTTTACTTGAAACAGACAGTATCATACCTTGCATATCCAAGCCGAGGACATTTTCATGGCATTGGTATTGCCAGCATACATCATATATCCGGAAGTATCAAGTCTCAGCACCACCAAATCGCTTCGTAGTAAACTTTGGCTAAAGATATCGAAAGGAGTGCATATGCAAACTACTGTGTGTGCAAGCCATATCAGCCAGCCACGCTCCGTCGCTCGAAACAGCTTATCGGCTTATTAATGTTAATTTATATTACTCTCAATTTTCAAGTGCTTCCCGTTATGCTTGCAATTACAAAATACGAATACATTAACATGTTTAGTAGATCTTCGACTTGAAAACTCGACAACTGATTATGACAACTTAAATTCGTGTTCAATGCCCGCTAACAGCATGTAAAGTTAATGAAAAATAACTTTGATTTTGTAAACAGAAGCAGCAAATGCCTATTTCACCCCCTGTGCCGGGCTTTTCAAATTAACTTTGTCTTGTGTGTTCTTAAATACATTTTAAAATAAATGCGGCAAATAGACTCGCCTTGCCGTCAGTAATGCCATTGATTGTTATAGTCTTTGTAAAAACGACACTAATCCGAAATATTTTAAAACACTGTCCGCTCTCCCACTGCTTTGCTAACAAAGCTGAATTATCGCAATGTCGCAAAATATTGTGTGTCTGAACATTGTATACACGTTGCTTGGTTTAGGTGCAAATGTTTTCATTAAAATAGAGGTCACAGCAGCGACGATATTTAATAAGGTGTTGGCATACATCATATAAACTCCCATCACATTTGATTGATTGATTGATTGATTGATTCATGGTGATTGATTGATGTTTGATGAAGAATTTCCCTCTGATCTTAAAATTATACTGGATACAATCTCGAGTATACTGGATCGGGTTTCCTCTTCAATGCAGATGTGAGTTTCCAAAATTACCCTGCTTAGTTTTACAGGGAAAAAATAAAATGTGAAGGAGAGAGCAAATTAATTTCAACTTATTTTGGTTTATTAAAGGGAAAAACAGTTTATCGGCAAAAGCAGTTTAGTTGAATAAACATTTCAAAAATTTTTTACGAAGCGCTTCAGATACAATTTTACGCTATCTGTTCAGGTCGGGTTTCATCCTGTAATGCCCAAGGATACTGAATACATTTCAATTTAGCATTTCTCGCAAAACTCTTTGCTCCTACATTTTCATTCATTCAATGAGGCCGGGATGCCCGCGCCGAAGCCTCGGGGAAAGGATACTTTAGACCAACTGTAGTCTTTAGCGTAGCCGAAATGTAAGCTTATAGTGTTGAGGCTCGGGGAGGCTATAAAATAGATTACGATGAGGGAGGCTACTTGAGCAACTAAGATCACATTTCCTGTGCTTTCTGATATAAGTTTTAGGTAAATATCGCATTGAACAACCAGCCCCACTGCTACTGTTTGCCTCTGTTAGCCCTGCGGTTCCAGCTACCCTGCATACCAAAGATTTTTGACCACAAAATTATGTTAAAACTACAATTCGGCTGTATCATTGTATTTGGGTGTAGGTACTGACAACAAGATTTTCTGTAAAATGCTATTTAAACCTAGTTTTGGGTCTTTAAAACTGGACCTACAATCCTTTCCCTGGATGCAGACCATCTATCTTCTTCAAAGGAATGACAGTCGAAAATTTCGTACTCAGCGACCTGCGAGTTGTTTATTGTAAGAATTAATTGGACTCCTCTGGTTGTCCTTTGACTGACTATTTCGCAATTGCAGTCTCCTTTCAAAGTTGAAGCCAGCGGGCGTACCTTGGTGTTAATGACCTCCGCACATGTCTTTGAAAGTCAAACACTGTTGCAATTGTTTTCTAATTACCTAGTAAATACCTCATATATATGTGGCATTCATTTATGCAAAAATGGTTCGAGCTTACTTGTATGAGTTGAAAAGCACGGAAGATATAATGCCTTTAGCGCATTGCCTCCCACTGCTGAGAAAGGTATGCGGTTACATCATACCGGGATAGATAATAACCATACAGGGCAACCTTAAAGCGTTATAATTAGCTGCCATGGTTTTTGTGTGAACTACCTGAATATAACACTTTGATCAGTCTTTGACGTTTCGAGCGTTAGGAGATTAGTCTAACACGAAGTTAAACACTGATTCAAACCTGGTCATTGTATAAATGTCATTAAAATTTAAAAAAAATGGTCATCACACGTTAATATTATTAGGCTATAATATACTTCATTTCTGAATTCTGATCGCTATGGTACCCTGAAGGAATAATATATTTTGATAATTAGTCTAATGCATGCACTGTATTCTGACTTATACTCTCTTTTGTATCTGTCGTTTCTACCTTGCCATTTCATTTTGAAACTGCACATTCAGGGGCGGCGTGGCTCTCCAAAAAGAGCCGGGAAATGACACTTTAGGGAAGCGCATCGAGCATCTGCAGCACCAGCGGCTCCCGATATCTTATTGAGCCACGTCGCCCCTGGCACAGTCTACATTGTTGTACTTGGTGACTCACAAACAGCATGTACCAGCATATCTAAATATTGTAATAACTCGTCCCCAGTCTTCTGAAGCATGTTATCCAATGTGAGGACATTACTTGATATCTTTCTGAGACCGACCAAGTTTGTTCGTCTACCAAATCCAACGGCAACTATGTTCACTCCAAACAGCTAAAAGAAAGTAAATTTTTACCATTTTATCCAGAAAAACATAATGGCCACTTGATCATGTAGACTTTTGAACGAACTCTTGGAAACTACCTCTTCGAGTTAGCTTAGCAAGTAAAAAAATTTCAAGTCCCCTCTGAGTACGATTCTTAAATATACCATTCAATGATAGGGTGTTTGTAGATCTATCTAATATAATTACAATTAGCTTAGTTTAGTTTAGTTTGCCAGGTGATCTCGTGTTCGTATTTTAGCCAATCAGCGCTCAGAAAAGGTTGTCCGAATAGAAATCCATTTTCATGTATTCAGTCCGAATTATATCTTTCGTTATTCTTTATGAAACTAGTTGAAATTTTGTAATTATGTTTGGTTATGAGAACTATAGCTCTGACAAAAATATGGAATCGAAATAAACTATATTACAGGAGATATTCAGTTGTTTTAATCATAAAATGGATTTCTATTTGACAACTAGTGCCAGTACTTTTCCGCGTATCAAGATCATCTGGTGGTTTGGTGTAGTTTAGTTTAGTTTGTATCCAACTGACTTTAACTAACCAAAACCTAATACAAACCTAATATCTTAAACGAAGTTTTAAGTATAGTGGTGCAATGCTGTTGAATAGTTTTCCTTCTGAGGCGAAAAAGGCATCTTCGCTTTACCAATTTAAACGCAGTATGTCCACTATACCAGAGACTTGAAGACGTGAGTTAAAATAGTTTGTATAAGTATAACACGCTTCATCTGAAAATCAACACATTGTATTTTACAACTATGTTGTGTATGGCCAGCGTGACTAAATAAATCTGTAAGTAAGTAACTATGGAAACGGGAAGAGTTAGGCTACACATCTATACCTGTAGTTTCAAAGACGGTAACTCCAATTTTTGCTCTCCTCCATAGGTGTATCCATCCGTCACGATAATCAATATCTTCTTCGATGTCGACCGAGCTCCATATTGGGGCATGGAGAATACTCGTAATACTTTATTTAGAGCATTCTGTGTGAGAGTTGCTCCACCAAGCAACGGAACCTGAAGGATGGTTTCTTGCACCGCGCCGACATTATGGAAATGTGAATCTTCAAAGGTGAAGTCGGTATGTATAAAGTGATTGTAGTGTATTAATGCAAAATGGACCTCGTTTTCATTCACTGGGAATCTTTCCACAAAATCTGCCAGAAGTTGTTTTCGTTCTTTAAATTCAGCTAAGGATATGCTCGATGATATGTCCAATGCAATTAGGATATCTGCCTTTTTCATACAGCCTGAAGAATAATGTAATGTTTGGTTAGTTTGCGGAACTATGGAAATGTGTTACATGTTGTTCAGAAATAGAACATTACATAGTTCTTAATAAGGGCTAATCTAAATTGATCTGATGTACAGAAACGAGAGGTAAAGGGTTTTTCTCGTTCTTCTGATCTCTGTTAGTTGTTTCTTCAACTCGAGCTTTTACTGTTAGTGGGATATTATAGCATTTTGTTTCAAATTCTTCAACAAATCTGTTACCTGGCTTTGTCATGTCTTCAGTTGTAATCACTGTATTTGTCGGAGCTTTGGTTGTGGTTGTGGTTGTGGTTGTGGTTGTGGTTGTGGTTGTGGTTGTCGGAGTTTTGGTGGTTGTCGGAATTTTGGTGGTTGTTTTCGGAGGTTTGGTTGTTGTTGGTTTGGTCTTTGTCGGAGGTTTGGTTGTTGGAGGTTTCGTTGTCGGAGATTTGGTGGTTGTTTTGGGAGGTTTGGTTGTTGTTGGAGGTTTCTTTGTGGTTGTTGGAGGTTTCTTTGTGGTTGTTGGAGGTTTCTTTGTGGTTGTTGGAGGTTTCTTTGTGGTTGTTGGAGGTTTGGTTGTTGTTGGAGGTTTCTTTGTGGTTGTTGGAGGTTTCTTTGTGGTTGTTGGAGGTTTCTTTGTGGTTGTTGGAGGTTTGGTTGTTGTCGGAGGTTTGGTTGTTGTTGTTGTTGTTGTTGTTGTTGTTGTTGGAGGTTTGGTGGTGGTTGTTGTTGTTGTTGGAGGTTTGGTTGTTGTTGTTGTTGGAGGTTTGGTTGTTGTCGGAGGTTTCGTTGTGGTTGTCGGAGGTTGGGTTGTGCTTGTCTGAGGTTCGGTCGTTGTCAGCGGAGCTTCGGTTGTTTTTGGTGGAGTTTCAGTTGTTGTTAGAGGTTCTGTTGTTGTCGGTGGAAGTTCGGTTGTAGTTTGAGGTTCGGTCGTTTTTGGTGGAGGTTCGGTTGTTGTCGACGGAGGTTTTGTCGTTATTGGTGAAAGTTTCGTTGATGCCGTTATAACTTTTCTCGTAGTAGTTTCAATTTTGGATTTGTCTGGTATATAATAGATCAAATTCGTGAAGTGGGTGCCACTACATTGCTCGGAGTCTTCTTGACATGAGCCAAATGTTGAATTTACGCATGATTGTGATAAACCCAATTTAACGAAATCTTCAGGGCCAGCAACACCACTCCAGCATTCGGCGTAGTATTGAATACCGAAGAAGTTAGTACCAGAAGAAGTTGCAGCTTTAGCACAATCACAGATAAACCTTTAAGAAATAAACAGAAATATGATGTTTAACAGACAAAATTTCGATTGATAGGAATGCAACAACTACCTGAAAAATAAAAGGAGAACTTCGGAAGTAAAGATTTGTAGTAAAGATTAAGAGAGATGCCAGATTTCGCAAATATATACAATGGTTAGATAAATGCTCCATATCTAAGCTTGTAGTTCTGTGATCAATAAATCAGGTAAACTGTTTTACCTAGATGTCCAGCAAGAGTCATCCATTGAGGATTACTCTCCAGATGTAGATTTTGAAAGCAATGGTAAACTTACCTTGGCAGAAATTCTTGATATTTTTGAATATCCCAAGCGATTGTATATCCAGGGTTGTTTTTCGCGCCTGAATATCGAGCATTGAGTAAGAGGTTGGGAAATGTTCTTGGATCGGGCGAGTCATTGTAGCATCCAATCTTGTAGTACGATATCTCACACGCTAGAAATATTTAATTATAAAAATATGCGGAATTATATTCTATACTTTCATTGCTTTTCATTCTTGTTCTAGTTTGAGCAAGCCATTGCAGTGAAGTAACCTATCTTGCAAACCTTCGCTTGCATGCAATTTCTGTTCTCGTCTGATTGAACCACGAGAAATGAGTAACTCTTGCAAACTCTCGCTTGCCAAATTTCATACAAGTTTAGTTATTATCTTTTTATACCTAGCCCCGAGAGTTCGAGAAACCGCTCTCATGTAACTCTTGCTGTCCTCGTGCTTTTGTCAACTCTCATGCAACTTTTGTTCTCGTTTGACCAAGCCATTAAATGAAACTCTGAATGGATATAAAATATCGCTGGCATGCTCTCATGCAACTCTTCATCTCATTTGAGGTCAAACCTTAACGTGAGTTGAGAAAACTCTAATAGAACTCGATGTACAAATCTGGTTCTCGTGTGTGTAAGCTATCAGAGATGAAGAAACTCTCGTGTAACTCTAGCTGGGCAGCTGTGTTGGTAGTATTTTCATGAATCTTTACTTACCTTCAGAAGCGAGGATAGCGCTTGTAAGGAGTAAAAAGACTGTCACCGCTCTTCCATCCATCTTTACTAAACTTGAATGATATATTTTGAAGGTCCCTTCATCTTTTATAAATACAATATTGCCGTAAATATATTTGTTTCAACATCGCTGAACAAAAGATGCAATATCTTTAATGCATTCCCATTTATTAAATACGCATTCACCGTATAATCCAGGTGCTCGCTGTCATGGAAAGTTGTCATTAGTTGTTCCTATATATGCAATTATATTCATGTCGTTCTATCTACATTGTTCAATGTTTGTAGCTTGATTGATTAACTGAAAAAATATGAATTTCCAATAGCGAGCTATATTAAGTATTTCAAAATCGGCAATTAACCACTTATGTAGAAATATATGCTTGGTGAATGATCTATTATGTGACAAGTTAATTTGATTGTATTCTGTTAGATGGTAAATGATTCTTAATTTCGCCTCACTTAATATAATAACTGCAATATATTCGCTTTTGTTTCAATGAGGAATTTGGGTTCATTTAGCCTGTCTCGATATTCATTCTTCGAGCTTAGTTTAACGCGCGGGCTGTATGCCCATAAAATATAAGGCATACGGGCGGGTAATTGGTGACCGCGCCTCTGCGTAGAAGAGAGCTTTCGAGCTCTGTAGAATAATATACTAACATCAAAGTTACGATACTATAGAAAACAAGATTACATCAAATGAATGAATTTGATTGACTTTTTATTTTATATCTAACACTTTAATTTTATCCTATTTAATCTGACACTTCCTAATACGCGTCACAAATAATATTTTCCTATCGTAATTTTAAATAAACATTCTGAATGAGTTCTACTTTGAACATGTGGAAACAAAAAAGCAGATCGTGTACCAGGGTTTCAATGCAGAAGCCAGTGCTGTACTATGAGCGGTCAAAATTTAATAGTCGGTTAGTCTCACATGAGTCAAACTAGAAGACTATTCTTTCAAATTATTAGGTGAAAGGCGATAACATAAAAGCGTAAGCGCTGCCACGCCATGATTCGTCATCAAAATGCTGACGCCATGGTCGCCCAAAAAAAAGCTTCCAATATAGTGGGGCTAAACTATGGAATCAGATACCTGAAGAGATACGCAATTCGGTATCGTATAATTCGTTCTGTAAAAAGCTATCTTCCTCGACCTTAATCTCGACTTAAAGTAGTAGTTAATTTTTTGTCTAAATAGGTATATAATTGTATTTGTTATGTATGTAATATTAGAGCTAGTATATAAATAATAATTTGTAAGTACACATCCCTTTTGGAAATCAGCTTTTGCTGAAAAGGCCAATGTGTTTAAATAAAGTTGATCTATCTATCTATCTATTTTGTGGGGTGAATGCCTCTTATAAGCGCACTAGCTACGACCATGGCGTCAGCATTTTGATGACGAATTACGGTTACGCCAAAATCATAGGGAAAACCAAGAAGTCGGGCTTCTGTATAGTCTCTATTCTGTAGTAGTATATCCTTCACAACCTCAGCTGTTTGTCATCGTCTCTACCTACATTGACACTGAGATTATTTAATTTATACTTTTTCAACTTTGAGCTGGTCAGCACAGCCATGACACTATGCCTTCCAATCATTTTGTTCGTTTTGTTGGTCGCATTATTTTGGACACACCATGTATACAACTTTATCAATGTATCTCTTGACTTGCCTCAGATCATCCAGTGATGGTATAATGATCAGGTTTGATCGGTTTTCTGCGATCAATAATAATGAATAAAGGTCTAGGTAGTTTTCACTCCCAACTGCTACTGCTGTGACACGTACACCACTCTGTGGAAGAAAAATTGAAAGAGTAAATAAGATTTGTATTTTATAAAATATCCTTTTATGAACATGCTGATATTATGATGGAAACCTCGGAATATCAAACTCATTAATAATTCGTGACGAAATCATGAGTTCATGACTGTGAAATAGTTAGTATATCTGATACAAAATCATGATTTACATAAACTTTAAGCTCAATTTTCTCACCAAATATTATTCATTTATTTTAAATTGTTGAAAAATACGAATGTTCTCATCAAGACGTTTCACAAGACATTCCGACAACATGAGCGTCCGTGTTGTGTCAGATATACAAATTCTCGCCCTTCGACACGAGTTTGTAAAGCAATTACAGGCACACACTCACCTGACGTAATTTCTTCAAAGGCTCTCTCAAAGTCTGTTTCCCACCATATGTCCTACCATCCGTGAACAAGATGAGTACCTTCTGAACATCCGGGTCATTTCTCGCACCGTTGTCAAACAATGCCTTTGCTGACGTCAGAGCAGATTGCGTCAGCGTTGCCTGACCTAGGTACCCCATATCACGAATACGATTACGCAATGATTGCGAGTTTGGGATCTGTTCTGTGAGTCTGGCGCTAGTTATGACTTTGTAGTTGTAATGCAATAATCCGAAGTATGTCGGCGTGAAACTTGTGAAGCGTTGTGTTAGACTATTGACGAAAGATCTAATTCTTAGGTAGGGTGCTGACATCACACTACCCGAGGCATCGATGGTAATTACAATGTCCAGAGCTTTTTTACAATCTGAAAGAAATAGAATTTAATGTTAGAATTGGTCACAAGAAGTGCAAATCGCAAAGCCTGTGATACGGTACACGTTTTGTCTTCTGATTAAGTTCATGTGAATGCAATGGTATCCGACACTTCGTCTTTCTTCTGTGCATTTTGTGTGACTTGCACAAGGTCATTTGTGTTCTGTTGGCAATCACGATTATAACCTACAACCGTTAGGTTTATCGTTGATTTCAGTAAATAGGCAATTGTGATAGTCAACTCGTAACGTAATGAAATTTCTCAAAATTATTCTTGTTCATGGAGCTGGTTTAGTACAGTTCAGAAAAACAATAGTTCATATGAAGTACTTACCAAAATCAATTGGAGTCATTGGTGTCGGTACTGATGACGTCACTGGTGTCGTCACTGGCATGGTTCGAGTGGGACTGATAGGGGTAGTAGGGGACACTGTTAGTGACGTTGCAGGAGTAGGGGGTGTTGAACGGGTGGTAACTGTGGATGTTGGTGGACATGTAGGAAGCGCAACATCTGCACGTACATATACGTAAGCATTGCGTGGACTGTCACCTGAACACAGCATAGAGCTTCCCTTTGAGCATGCGCCCTTTCTTTCGTTCATACAGCGATTTGATTGGCCATATCTCTCGTATGTACACTCGCCCATTTTTCCACTCCAACATTCGCCATAAAACTTAAGACCAAATATGGAGTAACCGTTGGTGTTCACTTTAGTAATACAATCGCAAATAAATCTAGATGAAGAGAAGAATCATTTTACTATCCCACAGTTATTTCACATGCCTTTTATTTGACGTGATAATACAAAACATAGGCTAAAAATGTTAGTGGATTAATTGTTTTTACGAAATATCTATTCAGATCATTTAGGCCATGAGGCATTTCAGCTGATTATCTATTGTTTTTAATGCGTTCGGCACATGAGAAGCACGGCGTTTGAAACAGGCCTTACTTTTACTTTTGGATAAAAAATTTTGGTTCTATTGGAATCACACGTAAGAATAATAATAATAATAATAATAATGTTAAAGTCAATAATAATAATGTTAATCGTATTGTGTTTGAAAGTTACTGCAAGTACAAACCATTTTACGTACTTTTTAATGAATTGAGCATAATTAGACCTATTGATCTGATACCCAGCATAAACATTACTTGTCCGGTCTCTTGCGGTGAGCATTAACTCTGGAATTGCTCTGGGCATACCGCTGTCACTTCGTTCAGACCAACATCCCAACTTTCTCAGTTTGTACTCAACGTTGCCACATTTTAAGCTTGGGGGTCCTGTGGGTGTGGGTGTTGGAACAGTAGTGATGGATGTAGGTGGTGTTGAGGGACATAGCTCTGCAGGAGGTGGATAAGTAGGTACATAGACGTACGTCTCTTGACTACTGTGACCGGCACACAAGTGGGACGTGCTGTGAGAGCAGATCTTCAGCTTTTCATTTACACATTCATTTGCTTGACCAAATTTCTTATAATTACAGCCAACTCGCGGGCCGCTCCAACATTCCCCGTAAAACTGCAGTCCAAATACTGAGTAACCTTTCTTGTTCACCTTCTTAACACAGTCACACATAAACCTGGAAAAATATATTGAAACTGTGATTGAAAATAAAATGCGAAACTAACTAGCTAGGTTTAATATATTGTGTAATGTTAGAACGTAATTTTTTGGGCGCCTTTTGAACTTCAGGATACTAGCGGACCCGAAATAGATCCTCATGATACTCCATTGAGTACTACAGGATTGTGTTTTTATTCACTATCTCATACCACCAAAGTGACGCAGTCTGTATGTATTTTGCTTCTGTGTGCTGTAGGCAAATTATCCTTATTGCCAAGATATATTGATACCGCGCAACATCGGCCACCTTGAAATGCACGTGTGAGCAGTGACCAAATGGAATTAATATTCTCTCTCTCTATATCTATTCAGCTAAAATAATAACATGTCAAAAATTATAGTCTTTACCTATTAATAAATACGTCGTAGCCCATTTTGTGATAATCATAACCGACATAGACATTGCTCCATTTATCTCTAGCAGTCAACAGTAACTCAGGCATTGCCCTAGGTGGCGTTATATGTCCTAAGTCTTTCCAACATCCTAGCTTGGTCAGTTTGTACTCAACATTTCCACATTTGATTTTTGGTGGCCCTGTTGGTATTGTTGGAGTCGTGATCTTTTTTGTAGGAGTAGGTGTCGTGATCTTAGGAGGTGTCGTAGGGATCGTGGCAGGACACGTAAGGCCACCAGGTGTATCAGCAGGGATATATACATAAATATCCTCAGTATTTTGTCCCGAACATAACCGCGAACTCTTATCCCGGCATTGTCCAAGTTTTTCATTAAGACATTTGTAAGATTTCCCAAAGATTTTGTAAGTACATGCAGCTCTAGGACCGCTCCAGCATTCGCCATAGAACTGTAAACCAAATACTGAGTAACCTTTTTCTTTTACTTTCCTTACACAGTCGCACGTAAACCTAAAGAAACGGAGTTGAAAGCATTAGATTGTAAACTTCAAGAAGGATTACGACTCTTCTGTTTAAGTACAATAAAAATTATTAAACTAGTTGTGTGTCTGTTTTCTCCCTACATCTAACTAAGCAGTATTGAGATTGTATTACTTCGGAGAATCTTCAAAGTTCCAGCCTACTTACTTGTGTATGAAGTCTCCATATTTTTGTTTATAAAATTTATATCCCACATACACGCTGCTTTTCGTATCTTTTGCAGTCAACAGTAGTTCTGGTAATACTCGAGGTGGTCTCACATGACCATACTCTTTCCAACATCCCAGTTTTGTCAGCTGGTATTCGATATTTCCGCATTTGATTCTTGGTGGACCTACGGGGATTGTTGTTGTTTTAGGGGTAGTGGGAGCCTTTGGTGTTGTTTTAAGGGTAGTGATCTTTTTGGTAGGAGTGGTAGGGATCGTAGTAGGACACGTAAGGCCACCAGGTGTATCAGTGGGTATATATACATAAATATCCTCCGTATTTTGTCCTGAACATAACCGCGAACTCTTATCCCAGCATTGTCCAACTTTTTCATTAAGACATTTGTAAGATTTCCCAAAGGTTTTGTAAGTACATGCAGCTCTAGGACCGCTCCAGCATTCGCCATAGAACTGTAAACCAAATACTGAGTAACCTTTTTCTTTTACTTTCCTTACACAGTCACACGTAAATCTAAAGAAACGGAGTTGAAAACATTAGATTTTAAACTCCAAGTACGATTACTACTCTTCTGTTTGAGTACAATCAAGAATTATTAAACTAGTTGTGTGTCTGTTTTCTCCCTGCATCTAACTAAGCATTTTTGAGATTTTATTACTTCGGAGAATCTTCAAAGTTCCGAGCTACTTACTTGTGTATAAAGTCTCCATATTTTTGTTTATAAAATTTATACCCCGCATACACGCTGCTTTTCGTATCTTTTGCAGTCAACAGTAGTTCTGGTAATACTCGAGGTGGTCTCACATGACCAAACTCTTTCCAACATCCCAGTTTTGTCAGCTGGTATTCGATATTTCCACATTTGATTCTTGGTGGACCTACGGGGATTGTTGTTGTTTTAGGGGTAGTGGGAGCCTTTGGTGTTGTTTTAGGGGTAGTAATCTTTTTGGTAGGAGTGGTAGGGATCGTGGCAGGACACGTAAGGCCACCAGGTGTATCAGTGGGGGTATATACATAAATATCCTCAGTATTTTGTCCTGAACATAACCGCGAACTCTTATCCCAGCATTGTCCAACTTTTTCATTAAGACATTTGTAAGATTTCCCAAAGGTTTTGTAAGTACATGCAGCTCTAGGACCGCTCCAGCATTCGCCATAGAACTGTAAACCAAATACTGAGTAACCTTTTTCTTTTACTTTCCTTACACAGTCACACGTAAATCTAAAGAAACGGAGTTGAAAACATTAGATTGTAAACTCCAAGTACGATGACTGGTCTTCTGTTTAAGGACAATCAAGAATTATTAAACTAGTTGTGTGTCTGTTTTCTTGCTACATCTAACTAAGCATTATTGAAATTTTATTACTTCGGAGAATCTTCAAAGTTCCGAGCTACTTACTTGTGTATAAAGTCTCCATATTTTTGTTTATAAAATTTATACCCCGCATACACGCTGCTTTTCGTATCTTTTGCAGTCAACAGTAGTTCTGGTAATACTCGAGGTGGTCTCACATGACCAAACTCTTTCCAACATCCCAGTTTTGTCAGCTGGTATTCGATATTTCCACATTTGATTCTTGGTGGACCTACGGGGATTGTTGTTGTTTTAGGGGTAGTGGGAGCCTTTGGTGTTGTTTTAGGGGTGGTGATCTTTTTGGTAGGAGTCGTAGGGATCGTAGCAGGACACGTAAGGCCACCAGGTGTATCAGCGGGTATATATACATAAATATCCTCCGTATTTTGTCCTGAACATAACCGCGAACTCTTATCCCAGCATTGTCCAACTTTTTCATTAAGACATTTGTAAGATTTCCCAAAGGTTTTGTAAGTACATGCAGCCCTAGGACCGCTCCAGCATTCGCCATAGAACTGTAAACCAAATACTGAGTAACCTTTTTCTTTTACTTTCCTTACACAGTCACACGTAAACCTAAAGAAACGGAGTTGAAAGCATTAGATTGTAAACTTCAAGAAGGATTACTACATGGTCTTTGTTTAAGCACAAGGAAACATTATTAAACTATTTGTGTGTCCATATTTTGACTTCTGGTCTATGACATGCGGAGACTTGTTTTTGTGGGAGACTGAGCCAAAAACGATGTCTTTCAAATATATAACTAAAATGATGCTTTAGGACTGTACTGCTCAGAGTTGTTCTCTTCTTCTCTTCTTTGCATTGAGGTGAGAAAGTACTGCTTACTTTCAAACAAAAAGAATGTCATTTTTTACACTACACTACTCTACCGTTCGCTCCTACCTTCATGATGGTGTCCATTTTCTCCCTACATCTAACTAAGCAGTTTTGAGATTTTACTACTTCGGAGAATGTGAGGAAACGATCTTCAAAGTTCCAGCCTACTTACTTGTGTATAAAGTCTCCATATTTTTGTTTATAAAATTTATATCCCGCATACACGCTGCTTTTCGTATCTTTTGCAGTCAACAGTAGTTCTGGTAATACTCGAGGTGGTCTCACATGACCATACTCTTTCCAACATCCCAGTTTTGTCAGCTGGTATTCGATATTTCCACATTTGATTCTTGGTGGACCTACGGGGATTGTTGTTGTTTTAGGGGTAGTGGGAGCCTTTGGTGTTGTTTTAGGGGTAGTGATCTTTTTGGTAGGAGTGGTAGGGATCGTGGCAGGACACGTAAGGCCACCAGGTGTATCAGTGGGGATATATACATAAATATCCTCAGTATTTTGTCCTGAACATAACCGCGAACTCTTATCCCAGCATTGTCCAAGTTTTTCATTAAGACATTTGTAAGATTTCCCAAAGGTTTTGTAAGTACATGCAGCCCTAGGACCGCTCCAGCATTCGCCATAGAACTGTAAACCAAATACTGAGTAACCTTTTTCTTTTACTTTCCTTACACAGTCACACGTAAATCTAAAGAAACGGAGTTGAAAACATTAGATTGTAAACTCCAAGTACGATGACTGGTCTTCTGTTTAAGGACAATCAAGAATTATTAAACTAGTTGTGTGTCTGTTTTCTTGCTACATCTAACTAAGCATTATTGAAATTTTATTACTTCGGAGAATCTTCAAAGTTCCGAGCTACTTACTTGTGTATAAAGTCTCCATATTTTTGTTTATAAAATTTATACCCCGCATACACGCTGCTTTTCGTATCTTTTGCAGTCAACAGTAGTTCTGGTAATACTCGAGGTGGTCTCACATGACCAAACTCTTTCCAACATCCCAGTTTTGTCAGCTGGTATTCGATATTTCCGCATTTGATTCTTGGTGGACCTAATGGGGTTGGCGTTGTTTTAGGGAAAGTAGGGATTTTTGGGATTGTTGTTGGTTGTGTGGGGATAGTAGTAGGACATAACGGTACATGACTATTAGCAGGAACATAGACATATGAATGTTTGGCATTGTCTCCGGAACAAAGCATTGTGGTGTCATCTGAACATCTCCCGTGGTTTTCATTCGCACATCCGTTTGCTTTTCCAAATTTCTTGTAATTACAGCCAGCTCTAGGATCGCTCCAACATTCACCGTAAAACTGAAGACCAAAAACTGAATAACCTTTTTGGTTCATCTTTTTAATACAGTCACACACAAATCTAGAAACAACGAGATATAAGATGCACGTTTAACTTTTATTTATACTGGATAGTTCTATCAGTTCTGAATTGTTCTTGTTGGAGGTTCAAAAGAAACCTTTTATGGTTCAATGTTAGAACAAGAGAAAACTTAAACGTAACATGTTTATGCTGGAAATAGGTTCTAAACTATTCTTTCTAGCAGTCCAGTAAGGACAGGAAGAACCAGATTTCCTGAAGGCATGCTTGGTGGAATCAACCAGAAAGCACTCTTGCGGAAATTATTCTAATCATAAATGATCAGTGACAGTATACGGTGCGAGCCAACCAACACTTGCAAGTCAGTACTAATTTATTCAATATAGAGGTTCAGATTTGACGTCACTACCGTTACCATTAAGGGACCATCAACCAATCAGATGCGTTTGATATATTCGATTAACCAATCAGATGTTTACCAAGCCAGAGGCAGTGGTAGTAGAAGTCAAATCTAAACCTCTATAATATTTTGATAACAACGTACATGATTTTTGTAGAAGTACATTACGAACCTTTTCAAAAACGCTGCATAATTGTGTGTGTCGAAGTCATATCCCACATAAACATGACTCCTCTTATCCCTGGATGTCAGTAATAATTCATCCATCGCTCTCGGAGGACTGATTTGTTCATTCCAGCATCCCAGCTTGGTTAGCTTATACTCAACATTGTCACATCTTACTACGGGAGGACCTTTGGGAATTGTGACTCTGGGCGTGGTTTGTGGGGTAGTGAAGATCTGAGGGGTTGTTTGAGGTTTGGTAGGGATAGTAGTAGGACATAACGGTACATGGCTATTAGCAGGAACATAGACATATGAATGTTTGGCATTGTCTCCAGAACAAAGCATTGTGGTGTCATCTGAACATCTCCCGTGGTTTTCGTTCACACATCCGTTTGCTTTCCCAAATTTATTGTAATTACAGCCAGCTCTAGGATCGCTCCAACATTCACCGTAAAACTGAAGACCAAAAACTGAATAACCTTTCTGGTTCATCTTTTTAATACAGTCACACACAAATCTAGAAAGAACGAGATGTATTCAAACTAAAATTAGATATTGAACTTGTTTGTACTTCATTTTAAACTAAACTTTGAAATTGGCATTGTATATTATGATAATGAAATTTTTTGTATCTGCGGTGCTGAAGAAGTCGCTTGTTGTATTTTGAATAATAATTTTATAAATAACTGCTCTTCCTAGATGTCTAGTGAGGACCAACCTTTATTGATCCTGGAGGAAATCGGATAAATATTGCGATATTTTACGGAGATGAAAGGCACATGCAATTAACGACTTTGCCACCAAAACCTTTTTTGGGAGTGCGTACGATGCTGTACTCCGTGCAAAACGTACGTAATGTTAATTTTTGAAGAAATATAGAACGAACCTTTTCAAAAACGCTGCGTAGTTGTGTGTGTCGAATTCATATCCCACATAGACATGACTCCTCTTATCCCTGGATGTCAGTAATAATTCATCCATCGCTCTCGGAGGACTGATTTGTTCATTCCAGCATCCCAGCTTGGTTAGCTTATACTCAACATTGTCACATCTTACTACGGGAGGGCCTTTGGGAATTGTGACTCTGGGTGTGGTTTGTGGGGTAGTGAAGATCTGAGGGGTTGTTTGAGGTTTGGTAGGGATATTGGTAGGACATGTAACAGGGGTACCATCAGGGACATAAACATACGTATTTCCGTTAGTGTCACCCGAGCATAACATGGTACTGTCGTCAGAACATTGCAGCATATTTTCGTTCACACATCTGTTCGTTTTACCAAACTTCTGATAAGAACAACCAGCTTGAGGTCCACTCCAACATTGCCCGTACAACTGCAGTCCAAATATTGAGTAACCTTTTTTCTTTATTTTGCTAATACAGTCACAGACAAACCTATAGGAGAAGATGATTTTATATTCTATTTGTACTGGTGATCAGTTTTGTCTAATCTGTTCTTTTTGCTAGTGATTCGGTAACACCCATCCTTTATTGATACCACGGGAGAAAACCTAAAGTAAACTAACTATGTTACACTGAAATGCTCTGTCATTTCTGCTACAGTTCTTTCTAAAGGTCCAGCAACAGTAATCTCTTATTAGTCTGCTGTTATAATACAACTGAAGAAAACCTGTTATGTTTGGTTGAAACAAATTGGAAACAGGAAATGAAACCCTGTTATGAAAGACACATGTCCTAACCAGTGTATAATGCTAATCGATCTTTGAACTGCACAGATTTCAATATTATATACGTATTTTCACTTCAGACTTACCTCTCCAAGAAAGGAGCGTAGTTATGTCTATTGAATTCATATCCTGCATATACTTTACTTTTCTTATCTCTTGCTGTCAGGATCAACTCTGGCATGGCTCTTGGAGGTCTGGCATCCCCCCATTCCCTCCAACATCCCAACTTCACCAGTTTGTATCTAACATTCCCGCATGTCACCTGCGGCTTCCCTTTCGGTACAGATGTTGTCTTAGGATTTGTGACTACTTTTGGGGTTGTTTTAGGCCTAGGTGTGACCCTTGGAGTTGCCTGCGGTTTGGTAGGGGGTTTTGTACCACATGTAGCGCCGTCTTTAGAATCACTCAGAACAAAGGCGTACACAGATTTACTGTAAGGTGAAGCACAAAGCATTGAACTACTGTCAGAACATTGCCATTTCTTTTGGTTAATACAATTGTTAGCTCTGCCATATTTTTGATACGTGCATGCGACATTAGATCCACTCCAGCATTGTCCGTATGAACGTATGCCAAAAACTGAATAGCCTTTTTTCGAGGCTGATGATGCGCAGTTACAGACGAATCTATGAAAGATGAAGAAACGTATCATATCATGTCATATAAGTTAACTTAGTCTCAGGTACTTCCAACAGCGCGTGTATCCAAGGCCCAAAACAACACATAATTCATTCATAGTAAAATTCGTGATTTTGAAGAGTCGCTATTAAAAGCTAGCTTTCCGTCTGTCTTTAAATGGCTAGCTACTAGTCTTGTATTTAAGTGATTTCATTATTTAGGCGTGTTATTTAGAGACTGGCACTGGGCCCAATTATCAACTCCGAGTATCTTCTTCAGCGGTTAAAAATGAATGGAGTAAACTATTTAGTGGTAAGTAATATTCAAAACCAACCTTTGTAAGAATGTTTCATAGTTCGAGATATCTAGATAATATCCAGCGTATAATCGTTGATTATAATAATCAGTAGCGGTTAACAAGAGCTCAGGAAACGCCTTGGAGTAATCTCTTTCATTCCAGCATCCCAATTTCCGTAGTTTATATGTAACATAGCCGCATGTCACAGAGAGACCAGAGGAAGGCGCGAGTGTAGTGGACTGGGTACTAATACTTGGCGTCGATGCGGTGGTTGTTATGCCGGTGGGATTGGGTGATTTTAAGGCGTATACAAAATGTAACCCTCCTGCCCCTGCACATGGCCCCCGATTGTTGGTATCACAATGGATCTTGTCCCCACGGACACAGCCATCAGCAATTGTGTACATGTCATAAGTATTTGCGACGTTCTTGCCACTCCAGCACTCGAAAAAGTTTGAAATACTGAAATGTGTGTAGCCTTTGCCTTGGACTTTTTCTGCACAGTCGCAAATGAATCTATAAAACAATAAAAAGCTCGTTAAATGCTCGTGTCCTCCCTAATCAAAAACCCTCGCCAGAAAATATCTGGCGACCAACAAGCAGTGTGCCATAATTTCGTGTTTTGATATTTGCACTTTTTCACATTGTCTTGAAATCCTCGCGAGCGTCAGGAGCGAATGGAAAGCAAGCTCTATCATAAGTGGGCAATATTATACCTTGATAAGAAATCCTGATATGTAGGAAACGCTGATCTCTTATATCCAACGTATTTATAATTACTGGAGTCTGCTGTTAGCATCAAGTCAGGAACAGCTCGGGGTAGATGGGGTTTGCTAGGGTCACGTGCATTGTGACAGCCAAGTTTTGCAAGGTTATATTTTGGACATCTCACCATCCTTGCTTCCTTTGGGTCATAGGGAGGGTAAGCTAGTGAAAAAGATATGAAAATATTCAGTGTAGTTAGTTTCACTGTCAGAGGGACTGCCATTTATGCCAAAGAGTTCAAATTCTACTCAACTGAATTAAAAATCACTAACTCGCATGTAAATTTGGTTACCTTTATCTCATTCTATGCTGACATTGTCAGAACTGTGGTAACTGGGCATATGAGAAAAGATGATGGCATAAATATTATTTTGACTTACTTTGAGGGCTATGCCAGCCATAGACACAAGATAACACATACAGTAAGGCCAACAATGCGCGCAGCATCGTGGGAACAGATTATATCTAAAATTATAAAACAAAATGAAAATTCATATAAAAATAATTTTATCCTAAATTTCAGTTAGACATTTTCCTCAACTCTTGTACAAATATATGTACTTGCAAGGTTCTAGATATAAATTTTGAACGTATTTGACCAGCTATCTTTAATTTCCTATATTTATGTATTGATTATGGTACTTTATTACAAAGTCAATTTTTGTTAAAATAAGTTATGATAACTTAATTTACTCTATGTATTTTACTATAGTTTATTTTGTAGCAATAATTTTGCTCAATATTTATACTCAACTAGAAGTGATATTACTATGAAAAAAATTATTAAACCATGACTTACCTTTCCGTCTCCTAGTTTTAGTCCACTTTACTACAGAAATGGTTCTTACCCAACAAAATCTACGTACCAAACTGGCGTACAATAAAACGGCAATTTGCTTTATGATGACAGTAAAACTAATCAATAATGATAAGAGTGCTTACAAGTGACGTGAAATTTTGACAGTCACGGCAATGGAAGATTGATAAGACGGCGGCTTATAGTTATTGAATGATAACTAGGAGTGGACTGTGAATGAAATATTACATCAATGAAAGGTCTTCAGTGACACTTGACATGTAACAATAAAATCCAGGACATATAGCAATATTCAATATCCGGTTGTATTATTGTGGGGAATCACGAAATATTTTTAAATTTATTGACAAATTTAATGATTGTGGGATTAGAACGTAGGGAAATTATATTAGATAAGTGCTCCGACGAAGACGTTCGCTGACCGCAATGGGGATTGCTACCCCGTCACCTTTCGTTTGACTTGATAGCCTATCCCCGGTTTCAGGAGGGGTATGCAGTGAAAATCAGTGCCTCCCCCCTGGAGGGGACACCATAGTTCATGGCAGGTTAAATGCAACAGTATAGTCAGTATTCATTCATTAACTCTGGAATGAAAAATTTAAGAAAAACGCCTGTATTCTGAAAGATCACTCCCACTCAAAGAGTGAAGGTTGAATCTGAGCTTCCCCTGAGTATCGACGCTGTTTTTGAATAGCTGGAGGGTGAGTAAGTCACATAGTAAGTTACGATACTAACCCTCCAACTATTCAAAAACAGCACTGACACTCAAGAGAAGCTCAGATTGAACCTCCACTCTTTGAGTGTGAGTGAGCTTTTAGAATACAGGCAGAAGACTCATTCTGCGATTTGTTTTATTCCAAGCACCCTTGCAGCTTTCCCCACGTACTCCAGTTTCCTCGTGTAGTAATAATGAAGCAATAAGGGATGGACCCGGAGCTCTAGACAGAAGAGTTTTGAACTGATAGAGCTATCCAGTATCAATAATAGTTTAGTTTGATGGGTTTGGTTCATTAAACATGCTTAATTATTTAAATTTTATACATACGTTTCCATGAGAAAGGAAACTGTTGAAAAGGCCTTCGTGTTACACGATCAATATACGTGGAAATTGCAATTTGAAGTGTATATACTTAAGTTGAGAGTTCCGACAGAAGTACAAGATTATCGTATACAACGAAAGTAGCATTTCTCTTCATTTTGGATTGGGAATTTGCGTGACGAACCCCAGAGAAAACTTTTGATGTTCGGTAGAACCGAAAAACTCTTACATATTTTATAGTTCAAATATATCTCACAAATGCCTTATAGGGCCCGTTAATGTAATTATGATTGTACGAGCAAACGCGCAGGGAGAAGTATATGCCATACCATTTGTTTTCCCATATATTTCGACCGAAGTTGTGAAGTAAAGTTCCCTGCTCACATATAGAGCACATTTTAAACTAAACTAACACTAATCTAACTGCATGTATTTATACTGTAGTATAGAAAGCTCTATCAGGGAGGATTGCCCCATTCTGCTTGTCCTATTTATATAAGTTTAACGTCTTCTCAAGCATTGTCTTAATTTAGTATATTTATATATCACATCAGTTATTTACAATGAAATCAATAATTTAATGAATTTATATACATATAGATGGAGAAAATGGTATTAAAACTGTTAACGATCTTATATTGGGCGTCAATTCCGTCTGAAATTCTTGCTCTAGATATATACAGCTATTTCAATTAAGGTTGTCGCCGAGCAAAGCGGAAAAGTCGAATACGAGGCGAAAGCTTGCTGGGAATCGCTAAAAAATTAATGAATTTTTTAGCGATTCCCAGCAAGCTTTTCGCGCTCCTATTCGACTTTTCCGCTTTGCTCGGGGACAACCTTAATTGAAATAGCTGTATACAACCCGCTGGATTAACAGATTTGAGCCTTTCCTTGTGTCTGCTGTGACCCTGAATTAAGTTATACAACTGAAATCTTTCGTACAATTTCTGTCGAGGAAGAGTTTTCAGTAGCTAGTCGAATACTTGAAGTAGGCAGAGATCCTGATCTTCCTTGGGACATTACACGCCGATCACATATCTTTTTTCGACAACTCATAAAACTGAAACTATGTAAAAACCCACGGCGATCCCATGATATTCTCCGAGGATTCACGAAGCTTAAAGGAGGAAAGGACACACGTCTTTCTTGACAAGACCCATTCCGATCCAATGACAATCTCCGAAAACTCTTCCTTACGAAATCCTTTCTTGCTTTCGTTGAGCATCGAAGAAAAGCTTTAAATCCTTGAGCGAACTCTTGATGCAGTGCGCCGTAGATGATGGGGTGAGATGCACTGGTTGCGGTCAGGAACAGCACGGAGAATTTCTTTGCTAGAGAATTCTTGATGCCATATGTACTCATTTGCCAGGTGATGTGATAGGGCAGGGTTAGGGTGATGTAAACTATCACAATGATACAGATCATTCGTATCGTCTATAGAAAAGAATAAAAACACATGTATTTATGGCTGGTTTACACTATCAAAGTTTCTGTGATCACAGTAGGAATTTTGCATAGGTAAATAATAAGTTTTGAAGGATTTGAAAGAAATGTTTGAGGAAACTGACTCACTGCTTAACACTGAGTTCCCTCAAACATTTTTTACAAATCCTTCAAAACTTAGGAATTGCCTATGCAAAATTCCTACTGTGATCACAGAAACTTTGATAGTATGAACCAGGCTTTACTGTAGTTTACTTTTACCAATAATTTGACTTCCACTATCTCTCACTGGCTTTGTACGCATCTTTTTACTGAAGCGGAAGCGAAAAGGCTCAGGAATGGCCATTCGCAGGTTAGGTGCTGCCCTGGTGCTGCGTACACTGGCTGCGTATGACCTAACCTGCGAACGGGCATATATACTCTGTACGAGATTGTGAGGAACTAGGCAATATATTTGTTTACTGTTTTCATATAGTGGTTGTGCAGGATTATAGCACAATCCTAGATTCTTACTCGTACTTCAATCAAATTTAAGAACATCCACTTACCCTCCCATGTCTTTTCGTGTTATTCAATAACCCAAGTTGCCTCAAATTATAGCGAGTCTGCCTGAGAATCATTGCCACTCTGATATAGATCACGACCATAACAATTGTCGGAAATAAAAACTGGATTACGAACAATGCCGTGAAGTACGCTTTCTCTAATGTTTCTGAGGGCCAAATATCCGTACACACTGGCTTTCCTTTTCGATCAACTACATTTAAAAATATGTTCAATGGCAGGGTAATAAGGCAAGATATTACCCAGAGAAAAACGATCTGTAGTTTTCGGAATAGGCTAACCGTTTCCTTAACCACCGTCAGGGAGGTAATAGTCCTGTATCGTTCGTATGATATCGCGACTAAAGTCAGCGAAGATGCTGTCAGGAATAAATACGTAAACATAGGGATTACTTTGCATAGAAACTGTCCAAATGGCCAGACGTAATTGTTTTCCTGATAAGCCAAGCGAAATGGCAGGTTTATAGATAGCAAGGCAATATCAGCGGCAGCTAAATTACAAAGCAGTATGTTATGAAACGTTCGAGCTTTCCTCCTACTAATCATTATCCAAATGACGATAGAATTTCCCCCAAGGCCGACGATGAACACCAAAGCATACAGCACGAATTTAAAGATTTTCACTGCCAAGGTTTCTTGTCCAGGTGCACTCGAATTTGAATATCGTGAGAAACTAGGCAGCGAGGAATTGTTGCTTCCATATGCATCCATGTTGCTCAAGCTAATGTCCTCTTTGTAGCTATAGAAATATAGAATATCTTTGTTATTTACATCAGTCGAAAAATGTTGTTCAAAACTTTAATTTCTTCTGTTTGAACATGAAAAGGATTGCCAGAGCTTAGACGGAGGTGTCTCTGATCAGTATTTATGTAAATTACATATATCAAAATCATCTGCATGCCCTGTCTCATTACGGACCTGACTTACTGGATCATTTTAATCACTTGACAAAGCTACTATTTTGTTTTCTATTTATAGTTTTTATAACACCTTAATTACGTTATATAATATATATTTTGCCAAGGTCAACTGCCTTGGCGTATTTCATTCACCAAATGGAACCTAATACATATTATGACTTACTTGCTTTATTTCTTCGTCTGCACTGTTGTTTCCCTGCGTTCACTTTTAATCTTAACCAAGTGTTATCAATCGTGATGTACACTCTTTTTCTTACTGCTTATTTTCAATGGTTTGGTGACTGTAAAGAGCAGTCCTGTATGTCAGGCGTTCAAGTGTACTTTGTGACCAAAGATCAATCCGTTTACAAGTATATGTGAAGAGTTCTTCGCATCGAGTCTTGCAAGACTTGCACTTGTCCGTATCTTTATACTTTCCTTACTCTCAGCTTTGCGAGTGCCTTATATTCGATGTAGGGAACTGTGCTCTTTACCAATTCTAGTGTATTTTCCAACAACTGATTATAACACAACTGAAATGGTCTAATGCTTTGAGTTTATACTTGCAAGAATCGCCCGTTACCTCTACGTTTTCTGTTCTTTCTTAGAGTTTAGCGAAGCGCTTAGTATTCGACGACTTGGTGTATGCAATTTTTTAGCAGCAGAACTGTATAGCCCTCCTGTTGTATGTTATGGATGGAACTTTCCAATACATCGAGTTCATATGCTTGCAAGAATTGACTACGTCTTATCCGTAATCACTCTCTGCTCTCTATCCTTTTTCGCAGCCTCATTATAATATATTCAATCGTTTTGGAGTTTTGCAGAAGGTGTTTTCTGTACCACTCTATTCAATTCAATTCAATTCAAGCAATTTTTAATCAGGAAGCCTACGTCACAATAATGTGTTTTTCTATTGTCGCTTGTCCGCTCTGATTATATATTATATATCTCCACTCTATAATTCACGTATACATAACAGTTTAGAAGTACTGTATATCTTATACTTATACCAATGCGGCTTTCACCTTTGTTATCATTAAAAACGAAATTCCTTCTGCTTTGACTTATATAGGTCTTAAAATTTGGGCATTAAATTTTCATTGCATAACAATCGAAATTCAATTCTAACACATCCCATACAGGTGGCAAGTCATTAGCGCTGCTTTACGTTTACCGATAAGGGAACGTTCGTTGTGTTATGGCTAGGATGTATTACATGTAGCCAGGTGAGGCTCGTCAAATCTACTTGTAGAACTCAAGTGTCGGTCTCTGTGAATACCGAACGGGAAATTAATGAAGGATTTGTGCATATGCAAGTAGATCGTACCCACGCAAACTGCTATAGGAAACAATGATTCGAGTCTTCCGAAAGGCTTAATGAGGGGAGCTTTTAGTGTGAATATAATATGAAAAGCTATGATGGCGAAACAATAGCAACAAAGCTCGTTAAATTTTGTACATGTGAATGCTGGCGAATTTTTAATAGCTTGAGTTGTGGAAATGGAAAACGTGGAAATGGAAACGTGGAAATTGAAACGCAAGCGTTTCCTGAGGGTCTAAATATTCAAAATTTTTCTCGAGGGAGCATTTCGCCGAACCCCCGTAGTAGATTTAGCCCCGTATTTATTATGCTGATATATTCCTTCGAAAGAGACACCTGGTACTAAATTTCAAACACTGCTTTTAGGTACCGACTTGTGGGCATCATGATATAGTAGGGGTAAGCAGTGGTCGTCAGCCTGCGCAGCAGGCGTTTTAGTGCGGGCGAGAGATGAGAGGGCGACACCCTTTCTTCTCCCGCACGCACTGAACGCCTGCTACGCAGGCTAAGTGCTCGTAGGACGCTTTGGTTTGCGGCTGCTAAAGTGGTGAATCCGGGCGCATGCGCATGGTA